TAGCATCTAGAATTATGGACAGACCGACAAAAAATAAAACCCTTAAACATATGCCTGGTTTCAGTATTGTAAGTCACAACCAGCAGAGATTTCATACTCGACCTCTCATCCGGATTTTTTCAGCTTTGTGACCAGTAGCCAAGACAGACATAAACTAGTGCTTATCATCTACTCTGACATTTCTTAAGCATTTGACGGCGCCGACCAGTTGGTTTTAATACATAGACTGAATTCCTGAAGAATACATGACCCACTATATTTTTTCCTTCCAGTGGAACACAGGGCTTCAAGCTAGTGGCTTGAAGTTTCTGTAGCAGTGTTTGTTTTTACAGGATGGGGTTGCTAGCCTCATGCCCAACCTTTCCTCTTCACCAGCATTATTTCTGGCTTAGCAAGGTAAAGGAGTGAGTCGGCCGGGGATCAAACCCCGGACTATGTGCATGGTCCACTATTGGGATGGCTTGAATCATTCCTTAATAGCAGGTCCTAAAAAGTCATACTTAAGTCTGTGACTTCCAAACCTAGCCTAATCATTCATGGTGTAGTTGAAGGTAGTGTCACAGGGCCCCTCCTATTTACACTTTATATTAACGACATCATCTTTTCAGATGAACTAAAACCAGCTTACACATTCCGTTACAATGACTTAGGGTACTTTCAGAATGTTGTGCAGAATAAACAAAGTGACCGTGTGGTCATCTTTATGGAATCTACAATTAAACTTGCTAAGTAAAGTTGGATTTACTTGAGAACAACCTCGATAGACATCAGATTAACACTCCAGTCTGCTGAAATAACTAGACTCCAAAGTGTCGTTCACTTAGGCCTGAGGTACTGCAGTGACCTGACATTTTCTGAGCAAGTCCCATCGCAGACTCGAAAGTCAAGGATGCCCTTAGGATGCATGCTCAGGAACTTTCACGACAATGAATTCAAGCTCATTCTATACAAAACATGTGTAAGGCCACTACTAGAATACTGTCCATTTATTGTTAGCAGTACTCGTATATGTGACAAGCTGAGGATGGAGTGTATCCGAGGATATTTCACGTCCAAACTACTTGGCTACGACTGTAAGAAAGACTACATCTCACGGTGCATGATTTTAAATCTTGACCCCCTTTGGACGAGACGACTTACTATAAGCCTAATATCCTTCTTTAAGGTCATACACAAAATAACATTCCCAAAAAGTGAGGACTTGCAGTTCCCACAGGAAGGCTATTACGAACTTCGTAACCAAATATGCACAGTGGCAATAAAAGTCTTCGAAACTATACTTCGTGAAAACCTCTTCAAAGTCATGTATTCTTAGATATGGGACAGCCTATGGCAAGAAGTCAGAGCCTGCGACTCCGTTGTGGGGTCCAGATGCTGTTTATAGAAATAGTTACGTTGTAATGACTAAAAAACAGTAGGAATCCACAGTTTATTTTTTAGAGCGAATCAAATTGTAGGACCACTGAATGACTAAAGAACGCGTAAAACTTCGCTAATTACCCTGCATTAACGATAAGGAGGTTAGCTATATATATACATATTAAAATAAGGGAATATTCTTATTTAGATGGAAATAGATGCAAATGTGCAATTAATATACACATGTTTCTATGAAATTCTTAAGATTCTGCTTATAACCAGACTTTGTCTTTTTTCGGTACTTTGTTGCTTGTCCCATCTCTTCTATCTGCTGCACAGACGTACAGCAAGACTGAAATAAACAGCACATGATGCGACTTACGAATGTGGCAATCCTGAAGCTCATAGCTGATAATAACTCAACATCCGTAAAAGCCTCCGGATCACCATTTAAAGATGCTGAATAACATTCTGAACCAGCAGTATCTATGACCCGCAATGGTGATAGACCTGGTTTCCAAACAGTCTTCTACATCTTAATTGACTTATGCGTACGGACAACCATGCAACTGCAAATGGCGGTGGTGGCAGACTTTGGAGAACTATCACCTATTTGGTGCAGTATAACATAAACACATAGCTAAAACAGATGTTTGCCTGAATGAAATATAATTTGCTCCTAATGTTACCCTTTGATAACACTGCTTAGAAAATGATACAAACATATTACTCGTTTTAAAGTAACGCATCATCTGACCATAAATCAGAAATGAGATGCAATGCCGTACGCAGCAAATTTGTGTGGGAGAACTAACTTCAAGCCTTATCTTTTGATCTGTCCGGCATGGCCCTGCATTTTTGTTTGTTAATGCAAAGATAATATTCCCATATCTCTTAGTGTGCTACTTTCGCTGACCAGTTAGCAGATTAATCCAAATGACTAAAACTGGAAAGAACAGCAACCATGTAAATTCACCACAAACCAAACTTATCTGGTTTGAGCAATGACTTATCTACGCTTGTGCAAACTGCATGTTCCTGCATAGACATGAATATATAAACACGTACAAATATATGAGAATAAATATTACTACCACTGACGAACTAATTACTGTCCTCAGTTTACCCCCTATACAAAGAGTATTACTATCAGAGGTGAAGAATCTAGTGGCAACTCGTATGCGTAAGGAAGGACCTGAGTACTATCGTTCAAACTATGGGCCTGTCAGAATTATCTGCACACTTACTGGGATACTGAAAGGAGTAGTTTAAAATGAGAAACGGTAGCTTTCTGTCCGAAATCCAGTGTGATTAGCGGGTAAATCTATCAATTCTCACAAATTTCACTGTGAAAGTAAGCTTGGTCAAACTTAAGAATAAAGAGGAACCTGTCGGAGTAGTTTTTACAAATTTTGGAAAGAATGCAATGCGAATATAATGAAATACCTGATGTCAGATCGCTCAGGAAGCTGAAAGCTTTCGGAGCTAATACCAACATATACACTCGAATCTGAAAATTTCATGCTGCGGGGAGCAGAGAATAGGGATAGATTCTAAGCACTCTTTCCGGACGAAATTACAAAGTGGTGTGCTGTGACGCATTGTGCCACTATTTTTCACTTACATCAACCCATTAAATAAACTTTCGATATCTCTCATGTTTCAGTGCGACAAGAAGGACCAGCAAATGCTTACACTGCAAAAGGGGCTGCAACAACTAGTTTAGCCTATCTGAAAATGGATGCTAGTTACCAAGGTAGCTAAAAAGAATACCAAGCTCAATCGGCATGCAAATGTGAGTGCAAACGTCGTGAAGCGAAAATTTCTGTCCTCACCCATCCTGCACGTGGCATTAAGCCACTATTCAGAAAGTACGACTGATTATTTCACAGTAGCAATTTGCTGCTGTATCATCCTACAAGAGTTTTGCAAGATCTTTACTAGAATCGGCAATGCTATGTTCATGACTATACACACATCTATATTTAGGTCAAGGATTTGTATTCAGAGTGTCCCACATACACTGGAAGTACTTCAAAGCATCACCACTTATATAATCTATGACATGACCGAAGAAAGACCATATTACTTCAGGACGTTGCCACTCCCACCGAATTTTGAACGCTCGAAACCTGATTCCAAGAAAAATGGTACTTGCGCCTTCAACCGACTCATATGATGAGGGACAGACTTAGTAACAGACATTCTGTTATTAATTAAACATCTGGGCTTCATGGAGATTTGAAGTTGGTATGCACCTGAATATTGGAACATATGATACGTGAGATTAACGAAGCTAAAGAAGGAAAAGAAAGTCACGAGGAAAGTAAGGCGAAAAGGGAACAGTAATGAGGAAAAACGTCATCTGTAATGGAATGAAGAGGTTATTTTCAACTGACCAAACGCTCTGACTTCTCGCTCTAAAACAGTTGTAATGGTTTGAGGACCAACTAGGCGAAAGGGAATTCCTTACCAAAGTCAATCGCATCTTCCGATCTTGATACAGGTCAGCATTAGGGGCATCATGTGGTTCTACACTAGGGCCATAGATATTTTTAAATATTTACCAATGATCTGAATGCCGTCTGAACTGCCCGAATCCCCTCTACGCTTATCACATAAGGATTTTTAGAGGAGTGAAGTTCTAGGGGGACTCAAATAGGCTGAAGGTTGAATCAAAAAATTCAGGAAGACTGGCCTTTGGTGAGTGATGTGACTTTCTGCCTCAAAAAGTACAAAGTGGTGCAACTATGCACATGTAGGCTGTAGAATGTAAGTTGCACTCTGTGCAACGTTACAGAAGACCTTTGGTCTAGTTCTGTAGGAAAAAGTGGACACAAGCGCGATGGATCTCCCAAATAAACCATATGCTGAACAGAGAAGAAACTAGATATTTTCAAACTTTGCCGCCGTGGGTTTGAAGGTGACTTAATTACTGCATATTAGATAACAACTGACCAGAATCACTCATGAAAGGTATTCTACTATTAAGTAAGTGTGGGCTTCCCTGTTACAATCCACGAGTGATAGCTCACTTCAGAGCGAAGGCTCGAGCGCTCTCCCACTTCTTTTCCATTCGGGTTTACCAACCCTGAATCTCTTAACTAGCAGATATGGCTACTGCTACTACTTCGTAGAAATAATTAAGTGCAGGCTGGACAGTCATGTAGCGACGCAAGGACTGCGTTCAAACGGCCCATCACTCACCCTGAGATTCACACACTATTAAGGGGTGTACATCTAAACTCTTCCTTTTAATGCTGCTCCCCAAGTCTTCTGACTGCTTTATCTATTCATCCACTTATTACATGATTATTATTTTCTTTTGCTCATACACATATTTTAAACTTCAAGTTTCATTACCTGTCTCTTTGGCGAAGACCGAGAACCCTTACCTTACAACCAAGAAGCGAGCATGGAGAAATCAATCTGGTTTGTACTAGCTCGTAAGAACGACATTGGATTGGATTAAGCGCACAAGTTCTGACCTACGTAGTGGTCAGAATGCCTTGAGGTGTATAAGAGTGAGTATAAATTTTACCGATTTCACGCACAACTTTCCTCGAAACTGGTGCTTTATGAAACGGTGGACGTTTAAGTAAACTATCAGCTGGTTTCTAATGTCACCAGCACTGCTTCAAATATTCTCAAGGTCGTATGATGGACAAGCTTCTCATGAACTTTAGCGACCTGGAGGAATGTTTAATTTCAGACGACTTATTTGAGAGTTATTTTAACTTCTATCTTTCACTTCCAGTAATAAAATATAATAATTGAACTTTACTATGCTATCAGGTCTTCTCACGAAAGCTGCAATATAACCGTCTCAGTGGTGAATTCATACATTTCAACTCTTCTGGTGATGACAATCAAGACTTAGGAAATTATGGATTGTCTGATGAGGATCGAGAAAGAGTTATTCAATGGGCAGAAACAGAACGTCTTCCATATTTTATCCGGTATTTAATTGGATTCAAAATGCGTTAATACTTTGATATTTCACTTTTAACAGAAGTGATGTTTACCGCGAATTTTCGTTGTGCAAACTATTATCGGCTCCATCAGATTTTGATTCGGATTATGCAGACTATTGGGTATCCAATGACGAAGAATTTACTAACGGCTTCACTTGTCAGCCTGGATTAAATAAATACTCTTGTATTTCTGAAAATTCAGATATAAGCACATATGAAGCTGGAACAGATAACAGCTGTGAAACCAGTTCTGGCCAGGTAGGCTTTTGTTCTCAGTTTGACATATTTAGCTAGTACTTCCATATATATATATATATATATATTCAGATCGCGCGAACTTTGAAAAGGGAGTGAATTTTACACGCTCTTGTTTAGTTTTGGCTTTTGTTGTGTTATACGCTCCAAAAGTCTACAGATTAACTTTAAATCAGTTTATTCTGATCAAAGTTAGTTTACTTTTCAGATCTGAGTCTATTTAAATTATAGGAAATTGTTATTTCTATAACATAATAGCTATATATATATTTTTGTGCACTCATTGATTTTTATCGCTGACTTATAAAGGTCTATATACATCTAAGTTATATTTAAATTTCTTCGCCAGTCTGTTCTAGACAGTATGCCCATCAAAAAAAACCGCTGTGGAAGGGTTATGTGCCAATTCCCAGTGGATGAGGGAATGCAGTGTGATAACTGCAAGAGGTGGTTTCACAGTATGTGCACAAACCTAACTCCTGCAGCATACAAACGCTGCTGTAAACCTCTAGAAAACTGGTTGTGCAATGACTGTTGTAGTACTACCAAACTCCGTATTACAGAAGCCATTGCCACTCTTAGCGGGGCTTTAAAGCTCATGGACTGCGAGGGTCATCCATCACAGGAGAAGACTAACTGCTTCTCAGACACCGAAGATGCGACTAGCGTCATCGACAGAACAGTACATGTCCCTAATGAGTCTTTGTCAATGACTGAGTGCCCTTCAGCACAGAAGAGCACTCACCACATTCCAGTCACCCAGGCTGCCCCCACGATACTGGATAAGCCCTCCAGTGACAGTAACGGAAAGACTGCCACAAAGAAGAGGCGTACCAGGGGTCGTAAACCTGCAACTCAAGTCACCCAGGTACTAGTGGATCAAGCCTCGTCCACACCGGTGAGTAGCAGGCAGATAAATCCTGCTACGACTAGTGAAGAGAACGCCAATGAATGGCGTAACGTAGTCTCTCGCAAAAAGCGAGACAAGGACAATACATTGGCCACACTGCCCACGAAGGAAAGGAAGACATTCACGCCGCAGAGCAAGACAACCACGGCAAGCAAACCTGATCTCTCTCGCTCATTCTCCACAAAGTGGAAGAGTCATTGGCCCCCGAACCCAAGACTAGATTTGAGCATGACCTTAACTTGGTTAAGCCCCTTTTAGACAAGCTACTGCCACAAACAGTATCAGGCGTCACTATACACAGTGTATATAGAATAGGCCAAAAGCCTGACCCTACAGTAAGTCAGCCTGTACGTCTCCTCAAAGTCGTACTAAACTCTAAGGAAGAGAGGGATGCTATTCTAAGCAACTCTCATATACTTAAAGGATCAGGCATATATGTCCGCGCCGACTTAAGCCTGGCAGACCGTATCAAAAGACAGTCTGCGGCCCTAGAATTAAGCGAACGACGCCGAAACGGCGAAAAGAACCTTAAGATTAAGGGTTTTCGGGTTGTTCAAGTTCGCAGTTTAATGATCCCGAAACCTCTGTGGGTAGGCCGGGGAAGCACCAAACTGGATTAACAGTTTGCTACACAAACGCCCGCAGCCTGTTAAATAAACGGACTGAGCTGGTCAACATGATAGACTCCGGAAACCCGGATGTAATTATTATCACAGAGACATGGCTCACACCCGATGTCACTGACAGCGAAGTTAACCTGCCAAACTTCGAAGTGCATAGGGTAGACCGACTAAACCGCAAAGGAGGTGGCGTAGTCATTTACCTCAAGAAATGCTTAACCGTGCGTAGTATCGAAGCACTCGCTCACGAAAGTGAGTCGTGCGAACTTCTACGCTGCAGACTTAAATGCATAGGCCAAGACATTGACCTCATTGCTATGTACCGCAGTCCTAACTGCAGTGCAGATGACTTCCTGATAGAGAAGCTAGGCTCCTGGACCTCGAAATGTCGAAGTCTCGTAGTTGGCGACTTCAATGCCCCAACAGTTGACTGGACGAGCCTATCAACTCCATCCTCAGTCAACTCCTTTGACTATAAACTGCTGGAATCTAGTATATCGTTAGCTCTAGTCCAACATATCATCAAGCCCACGCGCTATGACTCACAGCACTCCTCCTCAACTCTGGACCTAGTGTTCTCCCATGGTGAGGATGTAGATCTCATACAACATCTTCCTCCTTTAGGAAGCAGTGACCATGCTGTGCTCACTTTCAAGTTCACAGCAACGGCAGCAAGGGCCAAAACCCCATCTCGACCAAACGTTTGGAAAGCTGATATAAATGCAATCGTCTCAGCAGCCGACTCAGTAAACTGGTACGTCAACCCAGAGTCTCAAGTAGAAGCCGCATGGAACCAATTTAAACAACTTTACGCCCAAGTAACTGAACCTTTCATCCCTTGGTCTGTCCCAAAGGGTCGGAAACACTGCCCTCCTTGGATAAACCGAGAGATTCGTAAGTTACTTAGACGTAAACACAAATGTTGGAACTTGTTTGCCACACTTGAGACTTCTGAGACCAGGCAATTATACAACACTGCTAGAAATAAAGCTACTGCAGAAATCCGCAAATCAAGGATGAAATTCGAAGCACACCTGGCTCAAAATGCAAAGGCACAACCTAAGAAAATTTTCTCGTACATGAATTTCAGGAATAAAACATTCAATGGTGTCCCAAACCTGACTATCGACAATGACACAATCGAAGAAGATCAAGAAAAAGCAGAAGCAATGGCAAACTACTTCTCCCAAGTCTTCACTCAGGAGTCGTCACTGCCTATAGGATCAGCTCTGGCTGCATCAGAAGAGCATGGGATAGATTCCGTTGACATCAACCAAGGCATCGTGCTCAACTGCCTAAGGAAACTAGATGCAGGGAAATCAATGGGTCCTGATAATCTTCATCCAAGGCTTCTCAAGGAGCTATCAGTCCACATAGCCGGCCCTTTGATGACGATCTTCAAGCTTTCTCTCCAAAATGGAGTGTTACCGCGTGACTGAAAAGACGCCATAGTGACCCCAATCCACAAAGGAGGATCAATACAAAGCCCTTCAAATTACAGGACTATTAGTCTCACCAGCGCTTTAATCAAGACACTGGAAAGAATAATCAAGAAAAGTATCATGGCATATCTGGAAAACAGAAGCTTGTTATCTAGAGCACAGCACGGCTTCCGAAGAAACCTCTCATGCCTGTCAAATCTCCTCACTGCAAGAGAAAGCTGGGTCAAATCAAGGGAAAACAGAAGACCTGTTGACGTCATCTTCATAGACTTCGGCAAAACCTTTGATAAAGTTCCTTACAAAAGACTACTCATGAAGTTGGAAAGTCTTGGTATCAAAGGCAGCTTACTAAACTGGCTCAGGGAATTCCTCATAGATAGGAGGCAGAGGGTTAGGATCAACTCGAAACTCTCCTCCTGAACAACAGTGCAGAGCGGAGTGCCACAAGGCACGGTACTTGGACCTCTCCTATTTATTTTGTATATCAATGAGTTATCTCTACTCACCGATTCCCCTATGGTCCTATACGCAGATGACTTAAAAATTTGGAGAGAGCTGAAGGGCAACAGTGACACGTCCACGTTGCAAGAGGACCTCAACAAATTGTCAGAGTGGTCCATAGAATGGATGCTCCCGATAAACGTGACAAAATGTGCAACCATGCGCATTGGACAAGCAAGCACGAGCTCTTATGAACTAGAGGGAATTACACTTCCATCAGTTCAGACTTACTTGGACTTAGGTGTCATAGTTAGCCACGACTTAAAAACTACAGCACACTGTCGCGCGGTGGCTGCACGTAGTTTCAGGTCATTATGGGCAATTCGTAGAGCCTTCACTAGAATCACCAGAGATGTGTTCACCTCCTTATATACATCTCTGGTGAGGTCAAGACCAGAAAACTGCATCCAGGCCGCCAGCCCTTGTCTAAAAGGGGACTCACTTATTCTAGAAAGGGTTCAACGGAAAGCAACACGTATGATTCATGGCATGACTAACTTATCATACGAGGAAAGACTAGACAGTTTAAATCTCTTCTCCTTGTCATACCGTAGGCAGAGAGGAGATTTAATCACAATGTTTAAAATTTTAAATAATTACTACGGACCTGACCTATTTTCTCTTTTCCTTCCCACCAGGTCGGAACACCTTAGAGGACATAGCAGGAGAGTTCAAAAGCCAAGAAGAAATCATATTGCTGTTGAGTACTGGTTCTCACACAGAGTCATAAACTCTTGGAACCGACTCCCAGAAGAAGTGGTGTCTGCAACCTCAGTTGATTCGTTCAAGAAGGGTTTGGACAACCACAGAAGTTTACTAGAAAAGGATTAACATAGGCTCCAAGCCTTCTATCCTCAAACAATAAATCTGAATCTGAATCTGAAATCTGAGTACTCTGTGAAAAATTTTCATTTTTTATACCAGTTTTGAACATCGTGAATAAATGTCCCTATAAACCAAAAAATAGTTGGTAGCTTAATGTTCTGTTTCCTAGTTTGAATCACCCAATTATAAGATTGTCAATCCTATATTGGCATAAGGTATTATGAGTAAGGAGTCCTTAATACAGGTGTTTTGCTTACCAGCTTTGATTAGCAACACGCTAATGTATTTATAATAATAATATTATTTAATAATATTTATTATTATTAATATTATAATAAATAATAATATAATATTTAGCAATAAATTATTGTTATAATTTATGATGGAATGTATGACAGCTGTCTTAGCTTTACTAGAGATCAGATTTCCAACATGAACTGTAGCAGTTCAATTCGCTAATTTTCATAAAAATGCATCTAAAGGTAGACGAAAAAGATCGCATAGAAGTGTCAAAAACAGATTTCATATTCAGATTTACTGGTTGAGGATAGAAGGCTTGGAACCTCTGTTAATCCTTTGCTAGTAAATTTCTGTGGTTTTCCAAACCCTTTTTGAATGAATCAGTTGAGGTTGCAGACACCACTTCTTCTGGGAGTTGGTTCCAAAAGTTTATGACTCCGTGTGAGAACCAGTACTCAACAGCAATATTATTTCTTCTTTGCTTTTGAACTCTCCTGCTATGTCCTCTAAGGTGTTCCGACCTGGCGGGAAGGAAGAGAGAAAATAGGTCAGGTCCGTAGTAATTATTTAAAATTTTAAACATTGTGATTAAATCTCCTCTCTGCCTACGGTATGATAGGGAGAAAAGATTTAAACTGTCTAATCTTTCCTCGTTTGATAAGTTAGTCATGCCGAGAACCATACGTGCTGCCTTCCTTTGAACCCTTTCTAGAATGTGTGAGTCCCCTTGAAGAAAAAGACTGGCTACCTGGATACAGTTTTCTGGTCTTGACCTCACCAGAGATGTATATAAGGTGGTGAACATACCTCTGGTGATTCTAGCAAATTGCCAATAAGGACCTGAAACTGCTTGCAGCCACCGCGCGACAGTGTGCTGTAGTTTTTAAATCGTGACTAACTGTGACACCTAAGTCCAAGTGAGTCTGAACTGATGGAAGTGTTATTCCCTCTAGTTCGTAGGAGCTGATGCTTGCTTGTCCGATGCGCATGGTTGCACATTTCGCTACATTAATCGGGATCATCCATTCTCTGGACCACTCTGACAATTTGTTGAAGTCCTCTTGCAACGTGAACATATCACTGTTGCCCTTCAGCTCTCTCCAAATTTTTAAGTCATCTGCGTATAGGAGCATAGGGGAATCGGTGAGCAGAGATAACTCATTGATATACAAAATAAATAGGAGAGGTCCGAGTACCGTGCCTTGTGGCACTCCGCTCTGCACTGTTGTTCAGGAGGAGAGTTTCGAGTTGATCCTAACCCTCTGCCTCCTATCTATGAGGAACTCCCTTAGCCAGTTGCGTAATCTGCCTTTGGTACCAAGACTTTCCAACTTCATGAGTAGTCTTTTGTAAGGAACTTTATCAAAGGTTTTGCCGAAGTCTATGAAGATGACGTCAACAGGTCTTCTGTTTTCCCTTGATTTGACCCAGCTTTCTCTTGCAGTGAGGAGATTTGACAGGCATGAGAGGTTTCTTCGGAAGCCGTGCTGTGCTCTAGATAACAAGCTTCTGTTTTCCAGATATGCCATGATACTTTTCTTGATTATTCTTTCCAGTGTCTTGATTAAAGCGCTGGTGAGACTAATAGTCCTGTAATTTGAAGGGCTTTGTATTGATCCTCCTTTGTGGATTGGGGTCACTATGGCGTCTTTTCAGTCACGCGGTAACACTCCATTTTGGAGAGAAAGCTTGAAGATCGTCATCAAAGGGCCGGCTATGTGGACTGATAGCTCCTTGAGAAGCCTTGGATGAAGATTATCAGGACCCATTGATTTCCCTGCATCTAGTTTCCTTAGGCAGTTGAGCACGATGCCTTGGTTGATGTCAACGGAATCTATCCCATGCTCTTCTGATGCAGCCAGAGCTGATCCTATAGGCAGTGACGACTCCTGAGTGAAGACTTGGGAGAAGAACTTTGCCACTGCTTCTGCTTTTCTTGATCTTCTTCGATTGTGTCATTGTTAATAGTCAGGTTTGGGACACCATTGGATGTTTTATTCCTGAAGTTCATGTACGAGAAAATTTTCTTAGGTTGTGCCTTTGCATTTCGAGCCAGATGTGCTTCGAACTTCATCTTTGATTGGCGGATTTCCGCAATATCTTTGTTCCTAGCGGTGTTGTATAATTTCCTGGTCTCAGGAGTCTCAGGTGTGGCAAACATCTGAGTAACTTACAGATCTCTCGGTTTATCCATGGAGGGGGCAATGTTTCCGACCCTTTGGGACAGATCAAGGGATAAAAGGTTCAGTTACTTGGGCGTAAAGTTGTTTAAATTGGTTCCATGCGGCTTCTACTTGGGACTCTGGGTTGATGTACCAGTTCACTGAGTCGGCTGCTGAGACGATCGCATTTACATCAGCTTTCCAAACGATAATGTACGGGTAAGAAGAATAATTTGGTGAACAATGGCTGGTATTTAATAAGTTTGGAAAATTAAAGGAGTTAATACATCAGCATTTTTGTGGACGAATTTGAGCCAAATCACTAAAGTCTTCAACCGTGGATTCTTAGCATCCCGAGGATCTAAATCAGTAATTGCTTTAAAGAAACAACCAGGGACTAAACAAACAGTAGTTACCTTCTTCTGATCACCCCAAACTCCTTTTCATTTTAGTCCTATATGAGTTACTCGAATTGATGTTCACGAGTGATTACACCATAAGATTTTTCGTGTTGAATTCATAAACTTTAGTGTAATCGATGTTTACAGGCGGGTTACACTGCATAATTACAGGTGAAATACAACTCATACTTTCTATAATCTGATGGATTGATATTAGCCTTTTTCTAAGTGATGCGGTCACATTTCAAATATTTTTGTGTGCAGGGATTTTGGTGAAGTTCCACCACTCAGGTTTCATTACCCTCTAACATCAATTCGAAAATAACTGACAGCTTTCTTCTCCTAGTATGAATCTCTTCAGTACTGTATGCGTAGAATTGAACCCTGACGATTCACTTTACTAAGTAAGCCAGTCGAATATCCATTGAACTGATAAGAGTTAGTATTGTCGAACTAGTGTACTCTAAATCAATCAGTGAATGGCCAATGAGATTATTTTAAGTAAAATGAAGGCTCTGGGTGCAATCTCTGGTGGTGTGTAATGCTGGAGAACTTCATACTGGAAGAAAATATCTGTCCACAATTAATCCATCTACAGTGCGTCGGTGGCACAGTGGTCAGGACTGTCGCCGACCATGCACATGGTCCGGGGTTCGGTCCCCTGCCGACGCACACCCGATATCTATGGTCGGCCTGCAAAATTTGGGCTACCGATATCACATGCTGAAAATTTCATACCTGTACCAAAAAGTACTGTGTGGCTCTTGGTAAAAGCTATATGGCAATTATCGACTGAACTGTTGGTGAATAAGATACCGCTCTGCATATTTACTCTCATCAGTCACCAAATGATTGAAATCAATTATAAAGAACTTTTTCAGTGTCAAATAGAATCGTCTGAGTTGTATTAACAAACTTGTTTTAACTTTCTATTTAAAAGTGGACAAGATTTTTTCTGAAGTGCAATAAATTATTTTTCATATTCCACTTCTCTATTCCTTTTTGGTTAAAATTATTTGTGATCTTAGAATGATCAGTCTACAACACCTAATGTGAACTCTCCAAGCAATGAAGGCACTCAGGTCGTCAATGATTCGGTCAACTTTGAAGATACAGGTACGTCATCCACCTTGGTTGTTAATTTGAAGTAAATAAGATTGAAATTTACAGTTTTTAGATATTTTTCTGCCGCTACTACTCATACCCCACCTCCTCCTATTACTATTATTACTAATACTGAGGCTAATTAGAAATTCTTGTGAGTAATACAAGCCTCAGTGTTAGTATATAATTATAATAACAGCCAATGTACAGTAGCACATATTCGTCGGTTTGTCCTTCACACATCCTCCAGTCGTGTGGTGAATTCAGAATTCGATCCACAGTCTAACCAGTAAAGTCCACTAAGTTGGGTGATCCACAACAGAAAACTCGGCGAAGACTTTGAAGTGAAGAAAAGGACAATTGTAGTGAACTGGATTATGAAGACGACTGTAGGGAGTGAGAAGACAAGAATACGTCGGATCAATAAGAGGATTGTAGAAGGTATGGATTTCCCAGGTGATTTATGTCACATGTCACAAAAACTCAAAGACTTATAGATGAGATCCAAGAAACTGGCCGGCAGCGAAGATAGGACTTCAAGTGAACATGGAGAAAACGCAGGTTATGAAGATAACCAACCAACAAAAACAACAGCAAGAACCAATCACCACCAACAGGAGCTATTTGAAAGAAGCCACTTTTTCCACTTATATAGGAAACATCGTTTCAACTACAGGCGACAGGAATTCAAAACGGAAGCTGGAATAGCAAGACAGAACCTCATCACACTCACTCACTACAAACAACAAAATTCTGATTTTCGACACCAATCTCTTAAGTCAGTCACTTCTTCTGTCTGGGTCATAAACTTGTTACACGAATCACGAAAGCATTTCCAACAGACTAATCCTGATTTTTATCAGCAACTGCCTTCGCTCGCTCCATACTGAGGATCAAATAGCCAGTTAGAAAGAATTAGCAGCCAGGAACTCTGGGAAAGAATCAATCAAGAAACTATCGCTCAACAAATATGTAGGACCAGCTGATGAGAGGGGGAATGTGGAGAATAGAACGAAGCAGAGACGTGCTGCTGAAGCCCTATGTTTGACTCCTAAACCAAGGGAACAGTAACAGTAATAATCGGTTCCATCTGGAAATAGTTACTGGTTAAATGTCGAAGAATTCGATAAGTGAATTTTGATTCATTCATAGATCGGCTGCAATTTGAATTTCAACAAACCCTTCTTCTTCTACAAAAGAAACTAGTTTCACAGAAACAACAAAAGTAAATCCCAGGGAATGAATAGTCAAAGGCCTCTCCTAACAATCTGAAGATCCTGCGACCTTTCTCCGGAGATGGTGTCATGAGTGCGTACTGTCGACGAGTGATAAAATAGGAATAAAAAGCTGCCCAGTAATTCCTAGTGGTTTTGAGTGGTTCTCTAACTGATGTATCAACTCATGACGTAATGTAAGTAGTTGACACTGAAGTGAACTGAAGTGGCAGCTTGTCTTCCACACATCCTGATCATTCGCTGACTTCAGAATTCGACCCACAGTTCAACCAGTGAAGTCTACTAAGTCGTATGTAGGACAATTATATATATATATATATCGCAAATTTTCGGGAGTTAGAATTCATGGACCACTGAACCCCACCATATTGACTGAGTGGTTAACCAGCTCAGCTTACGACCTAAAAGTTTCCGATTCATAGGTCATAGGTCCTTGCTGTTGAATAGTTTCAGACTAGGACAAAACAGTTTTTTAGCACTCCTAATTTGGTTTCCAGTAAAAGTTCCCTAATTATCATGTATCAGTTCGTCATATAACTTGAAATCAATCAGATCCTTTTAATTTTCTATAGTTTGGTTTGTAACGGTTAGTTATGTTTTTATGAGTTGATCACGGATTGATATCAGTTAGAGAGAACCATTGAAAACCAGGGAGTACAAGACAGCTGCTGTTTCATCCTAGTCGGGGAATCATCGGCAGTGGCGCTAAATCACGAATTGGTAGAAGTTAGAATTCATGAGCCATTGAATCGAGTCCCAGTGGCTGAGTAGTATACGAGCTTGCCTTGTAACCGGGAGGTCCTGGGTTCGAATCCCAGCGCGTGCGCACTGCCGATGATTCCCCGACTAGGATGAAACAGCAGCTGTCTTGTACTCCCTGGTTTTCAACGGTTCTCTAACTGATATAGGTCCTTTTAAATCAATATTTGAAACATAAATCTGTCTAAGAGTTTAATAATTTACACTAATGGACTTCAGATTGTGTATTTCACACAATGTCCTTCAGTTTACCGATCTCTACATTTTCCTAGGTACAAATAAATCCGGAAGACGAAGAAGTCGAGAGTATTCAAAATACTTTAAAACAAGGTAAGTTATTTATACAATATCTATGAATAAAGAGAACTTAAATGCGAGAGACAATATCTGACAGTGATATACAGTGAATGTGCATATTTTGTCACACTTGTAAACCAGTGGTCCAATCGGAAAATGCTCTATAACCACTCTTGTCCACTTGTATTCGATTCCCGGACCAACCAAGACGGTTGGTTGGGTGTCTGCGAAGCTGGCAAACCCACCTCGTAAAGAAAGAAAACATCACCACTGCCACTCAAACCTCAATGCTTGAAGCCATTTTTTCCACTCGAAATGCAATACAGTTTCATTATCATTCTTAATCACTGAATTTGATTGGTTGCAATATTTCATCATAAGCTGACATTGGTTAGAGAACCGTTGATAAAAACCACAGAATACTGGACAGCTGTTTCGTCCCAGTTTGAGACCCTTCATCAGCACGTAGCCAGCCCCAGGGTTCGAATACAGGACCTTCTGGTTGCAAGGCAAGCTAGCTCATAGACCATCAAGCCACTGGGACCCGATCCAGAGGTCAGCCCATGAATTCCGAATTCTTTCAATTCACGATATAGCTCACCTTGTAATCGGAGGGCCCTGGGTTCGAGTCCCAGCGGGTGAGTACTGCTGAAGAGTCCCAAACTAGGCTGAAGAAACAGCTTCCCAGTACTCTCAGGTTTTCCAGTGGTTCTTTAACCGACGTCAGCTCAGGATGAAACCCTGCAACTGTGCCTAATTAATTAATTGTTTAGTGAATCATAAAGAACAGATGACGAGTTCAACATGGTTTTCACTGTTAATTATCATTGGGAAAATAACATACGGGAAACAGCCCTTCATGTGATATGATGTGAATTAACCATGTTATTAGATATCATTACATCATGGGTTCACATTTTTACTGGACGGGTTTTCCACCTAATTAAAAGCCATAAAACACATCCAGCCATGTCATACTCGATACTGAAGATCAAATTGTTAGCTGGTTAGAAAGTACAAGTGTAACAGGAGAAGATAAGAGAAAAACACACCATATTTACACATTTTCAACCCCATTAAAGTTCGGCTAGGTCAGAGGAGAATAGATTATTCTGATTGGTTGTCAACTGGCTTAAGGCTGAACAATTTGTCCAATGAGATTACTTCCTATCCACAAGGTAAACTAAATCCAGATTTGAGAAATAAACACTTCTATCTGTGCAGCGATTGACTTAAACTGTCGACTTCAATTTTGACCGCTTCCTATCAATCTGCATCACACCATATAAGGAAAAAGGAATTCTAACCAACCGTGAACCAGCCAACATATATGCAGAAAGAAATATAATTTCATACGTTTATTCCCCTTCATGAATTTGAAAAAAGCAAGAACTACAGTTTTTGCACAATAAAATGGTACCATCATCGGTTATTTCGTTGCCTTCTCGTCAGCTGCTTACAGCCCAAAGGCATTATTAAGTATGTATCAACAAAAACAATTTTAACATACTTGCACAGAGTTCAAAAATCAATCAATCAATAAATGCGTCGGTGGCACAGTGGTTAGGACTCTCGCCGACCATGCACATGGTCCGGGGTTCGATCCCCTGCCGGCGCACACCCGATATCTATGGTCGGCCTGAATTTGGGCTACCGATATCCATGCTGAAAATTCCATACTTGTACTGAAAATACGGTGTGGAATCAAGCTGTAAATCAAAATAAATAAAAAAATATATATAATATTAAACAGTATTCCGAATAATAATGATCATGCACAATGGAAACTTTCGGCATTACACACTCAGATGAAAGAGAGATGAAAATATCCAGTTACCAGGCAGGCCAAGGAAAGACTGATAACCACTTCTTTCTGGACGCATAAATCAGGCTTCAGGTTCTTGATGGAAATGGCTTCAGCAAACTTGAGGAGAATTGAGGTCTTTTGCCTGTTGATAATTTTGAACGACTTTTCGACGTCCACCTCATGACCCGTGTCGAGGAGATGCCTGGCGATGGCATTGTTTAAAGCATTTGTTCCCAGCTCGAGACATAGGCTTCTTGGTACATGTTCAGAATATTGTAGATATGCCCTTCTTCTTTCTGTCCTTCCAATGTAACTGCTCCCACAGATACATGTAAATTTGTAGATATATTTAATGCCGTGTCTGGCCTGTAAGCAGCTGACGAGAAGGCAACGAAATAACCGATGATGGTACCACTTTACTCTGCAAAAACTGTAGTTCTTGCTTTGTTCAGAAATAGAATTCGTTGACTGGTATTACTCTGAGAAAACACTCAAGTGACATTATACATATCAAGCCGTCGACGGGAACTCGGGTTGGCAGGCCAGCAGTTGGGCTTTGGCCACAGAGTGACCTAGAGGAGATCACATGAAGAAGAAGAAATGAAAGTTTGCTGACAGTCACTGAATGTGTAATGAAAATGTGCTGCTGTGTCACTTGGAATGCAATGAACAAATAACATGAGAATAAACAAACTGGGAAATTATGTCTTCTACTAGACTATCTGCTACTTATGAGTGAATTTAAGTAGTATATCGAGTAACATCTCAGAAGAAATTGTGACAGTTCATGTGCGTGTGTGCGTGCGGTAGTAGAAAAGTCACTGATAAAAAGACACAAGAAGAAGGAAGGTGATACCACTAGGAAGGATTTAAAAACCGACAGATGCTTTAGAGCAATAGGTACCTAGTACAGAATGGATGATATCATTTTCAAACAGCAGAATCATCAGTGATGTAAAGTGTGTGATTTTTCCTGAACATTCAGTCTATATGTGTCACAGTAAATAACAGATGCGTCCTCATCAGTCTTTTTCTCTTCACTTGAATAAAATGCACATTTAGCATGATACTATATTATTGTGGCGAGCGCTACTGATAAGATTTATCAGTAGTATGTATATAAAGTGACATTCATCAGCATAAAAACAGTAAATAATAGGGAGATACATTTGATGTCAGAGAAGGCGCATGATACAGCGTTATGGAGATACATGGGAGACGTGAAAGGAACACAGAGAAACGCAATATGAAAGAGGGAGGCCAGAAGTAACACAATAACATGGAAGATCTGTGCAAATGGTGCTTTGAAGATAAGGTGTACATAATTTGGTTAAAAAGAGATACTAATACCATTACTATTGTTTAAGGCTAAATTAAAGGTTAACCATCCGGGAGTGTGAACGCACTAATGACCATGGACGTATACTAGTCATTGGATAACGGGACCTACAGTTATTCTCGCACCAGTATGAACACTATTCACGCACCAGCTGAGGTACAAACTTCACTTCGATGTCATTTTTAACTATTGTTTAGATAATGAGTTGATAGCACTTACCTGTAAATGTTCTTGTCGTGCTTCTTCTATGTTCATCCAGAGGTGTTCAGAAACAGGCGATGGACATATATTTAGGTATACGCAGTGTAGGAAACGAATGAGTATTCATAATGGTAAGTTACAAGATGGGGTTATTAACCTCATGCCCAACCTTTCCTCTTTACCAGCTTTATTTCTGGCGTAGCTAGTTAAAGGAGTGCGTCCGTGCCTGGGGATCGAACCCTGGCGAGTGTCCGAACCGCTGTGCCACCGACGCACTTAGAGAACAGTAGTACAATAATAATAATACTAGGCAAGGTTTAGGAGTTAACCTCAGTCGGGACCGACTGGTAAAAGAAGCAAGCGATCATAGCACCACCACTACCCCACCCCAAGTAGGACTCGAACCTACAACCATTCAACCATCAACACATCAATCATTTAAAAAAAATTTCCTCTCTTATTTTCCAACCTTATTTTTTTCGCACAGACGATTATCTATGTTCGAAGGTATTCTGCAAAGAATGAATAACGATGCTAACCGTCCAAGTCCCCTGTTAGAACAAACTAGTTGTGAAGAAAATAGCCTAAGAAGTGATGCTGTCAGTAAACAACAACAGCAACAAAAGCAACGTCGTCAATCAGAACCAATTAAATCACTTTATTCTTATTATTCGTCGTCTCCTTCGTCTTCAAGAAATAATACAACATTCAATACCCTAGAATTTGTTCAAGACAGTTTGAGAGAGCTACATTCAAAAATTTCAAATAGTCAGAAAATACTAACACCAAATAGTGGTAAAACAAAATCAACTACATCAGAATTTACTTTGAAAAGTATTCTACACGATGAAAAGGATATGCAGGTTATATTTGATGAAATACAAGCTATGGAAGAGAGACAAAATATACCAATGCAACAATTGAAAGAGATACTGCTGTCTTCTGTAAGTTTAATTGCAAATAACAAGAATAATTTCAAGTATTTCATTGTAGAGATTTGTTTGATTGATTTTAGGTTGGATAAAAAAAGCTGACACAACAGTAAGAGAACTGGATAACTGTTTCGTCCTCGTTTGGGACTCTTCATCAGGTTACATATCTTTTGTGTTCTCTCAGGAGCTGGTTGATTTAATTGAGAGGCTGTCGTTCTCGCCCCCCCCCACCACCTCCATCACAGAATCCAAGATAATTCACTCTACCATATATATAAAGAATATCCCGGAAATATCAGCTAGAATATAAAAACCATTTGAAATAAACACAACTCACAAGACAACCGACATAATCGCTTCGTTCATCGATATTCTGCAGGCTGAAAGATCCAACAGAAAAAAAGGCAAGATCAATACCATTCACAAAATAAGTTGCATGCATGAACTGCAATAAACATTACATCGGTCAAAGTGGGCGTCCTCTTCGAATCCGAATCCAAGAACACAAATTAGCTGTAAAAAGGCACGATATGCATTCTACCATATCGATGCATGTAGATAATTATAGATACCAGTTTGATGATTGGAAGGCTGTAGAAATTTTAAACACAGGAAACACCAAATGTAATGCCAGAGAATTTCTAGAAGTCTGGTATTCAAATGAGTCAGCCAGCGAATGACAAACATACTAATGTAGAATTTGAAACATTTCTTTTTCAATGTGAATTTAAAACAAGCAACAAAAGGTGTTGTTAATAAAGCAGGATTTTGATGAATTCATCAAATTTCGGAAGAACTCTACAGCCGCTGAATATTCTACAAATAGGGATATTTGTATATATATATATATATCCATCCATTCAAGTGTAAGACATCCTTAGTCTTCTGTTGACAGTTGTTGTAATATTTTCAACTTTATAATCAAGTTGGATGTAGATGGGGTTTTTCTCCACTGTGATTTGTTTGTTCTTTTCACTTCATTGATATTTTTGTCAGCGTGATGGAATGAAAGATTTTATGGCTTATCTAGTCACTACAAACGGTATACACCTTATTGATTTTTGGTTGGATTGTGAAGCAATTAAAATGATTACATCAGAAGAAGAGGAAGAAGAAAGAGAAGGTGAAGAGGGAAACGAAGGACGTGCTGGTTTTAATCGAATCAAAATGAAGTTTGATTTAATTCGGTAATAGAAAATTTTTACTTTGATCTTAAAAAACAATTAGATTACAGTGATATACATATATATGTATATATATACCTCGGGGTTCTAGTGGGAAGCCGTTACCAGTAGGGTACAACAGGTTGAAGTTGATGAAAGTTACTCATCAAAGAAGACATTGCTAAGCTGTCGCGTTTTGCTGGGAATTGGCAGAAGTTAGAATTCATGGGCTGGCCACTGGATCGGGTCCCAGTTGGTGAATGACCTACGAGCTCGCTAGCCTTATAACCAGAAGGTCGTGGGTTTGAACCATGGTAATGGGTGAGTGGTGCTAAGGAGTCCCACATTAGGACGAAACAGCTGTTCAGTAATCCGTGGTTGTTTTCCAATGGTTCTCTAACTGATGTCAGCTCATGATGAAATCCTCCATCCAATCAAACTAAATCCCTACAAAAAACCTATTCTTGAAACTCCATTATAACACCAAACTAGGACAAAACAGTTACCCAGTACCTCCTGATGGCATCCAGTGGTACTCTAACCGGAATCAGTCCGTCGTGCAACTTGAAATAAATCAAATCTCTGTAAACCAGCACTCAAAAATTAATTTGATGCCTACTAGTGAAGTCTCCTGGATTTCTAGTGAGAAGTTATGACTAGTTGGGTGCACTGGGTCAGATAGGTATGAGGACAAATACTCGTAGATGACACTGTCCGGCGGTGGTGTTATGTGCATCACGAAGTGGTGGAATCTAAAATTCATCAGCAAGCGGTTAATTGTCCGACAAACTGACCTTATGACGCTAAGGTCCTGGTTCTGGTGGAATCAAGGGCATGCATTGTTGAAAAGTCCCAAACTAATCTGGTGAAAAAGCTGTTCAGTACTCCCCCAGTAGGTTTTCAATGGTTCTCTAACTGATACGAATCCATAATCTGAAGTAAACTGGTGGGTTGTGACTATCAGTGGAATACAGGACATCGCCCATTTCATCCTACTCGGAACTCGTCATCTGGATGTGCCTGCTTTCCACAATGAATGATAGTGTTCTCACTGAGGCTGGAACCCAGCACGCATTGTTTCAAACTCAGAGGAATACAAGCACATCCCGATGACGAGTCCAAAATGGGACGAAATGTGCGTTGTCCTAGATTCCATCCACTGCTGCTAGTCACCATCCACCAAAATTACTTGGAATTAAATGATCAGACATCATCTCAACATCTTCACCAGAGGCCGATATATCCACATGAAGTCAAGCACTAAGGTCCAATCAGTCAATAGGAAAGTTCACATAGAATTTAATAATCCTACTATTTACTTTTGTTTTTGACATAAACATTCAGTTTGTTTTCCACTTTAATTTCAGTGATCTTGAAGATCGTTATCTTCTTCGATTAACACCAAAAGCCCGCCAACAATTGTTTGCATCAGTTAATAGTATTTCAGACTATTTTATGACCATAAAGACAAGATATAATCCTCCTGAAGAATCCTATTTATGCCAACTGGGTGATATGATGTTCGATTTTGTCCAGCATGATTGTTTACGACGTTTAAAATACTACTGGTTACCTAGATGGCTGTTACATTGGGAGAAGATAATTCGACAGTGTCAATTTGTGCCAAGTGGGCTTGGTGGTTGTACGCTGTTCTATATACCATCAGAATGTTCACGGCTTGGTAAAGGGGATGATGATGATGGTAATGATGTCGATGATGGCAGTAGGAAGTACTCCAGAGTATGGCGTCAAAAGACCTCGTCGACTAACAATACAGAAATGTTTTCATTGAATACTTCTGATGTTGAACAAGATGATCAAAATAATGACAACGATGATGCTGCAGAAGATGAGCGTCTTAGAGACGAATATGCCGCCGATGACGACAATGATGAGAAAGAAGAAGAAGACGAGGACAATGGAGAGAATGATGAAGTATTTGAAGAGGAAGAAGAAGAACAGGATGCAGACAGTAGTTCTACCCCACGTGATCATGAAAACCGAGACACTTCTAAGGATGAAAAGTTATGGAGTCAAGAAATATATCACACAGCAGTTAAAAATGCTCTAACTACCACCTGTGGTGTCAGCCATAGTGGTCTTATTAAATCTGATTTAAACAGTGAGATATTAAGAAATCGAATAAGTCAACGTTTGAAACCAAAAGCTCCATCATCCACTCTGATCTCCACCCCCTCATCTTCGTCCACAAGACAGATAAGCAGAACGATGACACAAATATCACGAATGTCCAGTGGGTTCTCAAAGAAATATAACAACAATAATACTGCTACTACTCACAATGGCAGTAGTCGAATGAATTATAAGTCTAAAATTCCATTTTTCAAAAAATTAAACGTCTCCTGGACAATCCCATATGATCCAAATGATGTAATCGGTTTGAAAAAATCTCCTGGTTCCAAATGGGAAGCATTAAAAAAGCTGAAATCATTGAACAGATCAACTACACAATTGGAAATGTTGAACAATATTTTTCAAAAATCATCAGTTGTCATAGAATCATTCATATCAACATTAGGTTTAAATAATAATAATAATAATGATAATATTAATAATGAATTTTTGAAATATTCTAAAATTGAAAAATGCGCCTCTAAGTTTAAAACAGAAAAACAAAATGTAAACAGTAAGAATGTTCAATTGTTCAATAGAAATCTAAATGCGAAGTCTATTCTAACGGAACGACGTCAAAAACAACAACAACAGCAACCAAGTCAAAAACAAACTCTTTCATCGAATGAAGAGGATGTTTCAAAGTCAACTCCTTCTTTGAATCTACTGATAAAGAAATGTTTGTCAGCAATACATGCTGATGCTGCATCAGGTGGACCATTTCAGTATTATTTAGAAAGGTAATGTCTGCTTTTTGTTGATGTAATATATATTTTTTATGGCTGCCAGACATAGCTATTGAAAATCGAAACTATAAAGAGGTTCGACATCTTTGGCTACAGGTATCTCCGTTCTGTCTCTCAAGTTAGATGGTGGAATATGGGGCTTCAGCAGCACATCTCTACTTCATCCTGTTCTTCACATTCACTTTTAGTTGGATCCACGGCTGTGTGCGTTGGTGGCACAGCAGTAGAATACTCGCCAACCACGCCATACGTGGCTTGGAGTTCGATCCCCTACAGTCTGGCGCACTCCTTTACCTCTCTAAGGTTTGACATGGCGCTAGCAACCTCATTCCGTAAAAATAAATACCACTGCTGTCGAAACTTCTAGCTAGAAGCTTGAAGCCCTATATTCCCCTGGGAACGTTAAGGGATAAAAAATCGGTTGCCCATGTGCTTTTATCCCCACCACGTCACCCTCGGACACCCTCCCAATTAGTGATTTTCCCATTCCCATTCCACTCGACAACGTATCTAATGTGTGGGCTCACTCAGCAGTTTCTTCAGCGTATCTGTTCAATCAATTTTCACTTCCTTTGACATATTTCTTGGGCAGCAGGTTTTTTTGATTGGTTCCCCTGGTTGCTCATGCTTTCTGGACATATGAACTTCTATATCGAGGGAGGGCAGTTGTTAATCGAATTCCGCAAGCTGTTGGAAACTCTCTTGGTGTAGCGCTCGCTAAGTCGCACTGATTCAACATTAGTGGTGAAAATTTGCAAATTTTTCCTTCTACCGAGTACAACCGATGAATGAAAGTTTGTCTTAATTTCCCAGTCCTGCCTTTGACAACCTCATCAGTGCCACATGTAGCTGTAAGGATACTGCCTAGATTAGTGAAAGAGGTGAGTTCTATTAAATCTCTTCTACTGATGGCGACTGATGCTCGTTGTTGTTGTTGGTGGTGGTGGTGGTGGTGGTTAGGTATCTCCATCATTTTTTCTTCTCTGTGTTCACCTGAAGTCCTTTCTTTGCTGCCTGTCTCCACTACCAACTTGCTGGTTTTCACTTGTAGATCGTCTAGTTCGTGTGATATTAATCCAGAACTTCCGGTGTCTTTTCTCCAGTGAAAGGTTTAACTGTCATCTTGTTTCCCATAGTCTATTGTATGACCTAGTCTACCACAATCTGTAATACCCTTGGTAGCAGTAGTCAGCCTTACCTTACTTCTGTCTTTATTTCAAAGGCTTCTGTGGGCTTTCTAATATAAGTCGCTTAGTATTTGGCATAACCACTCTGCTGCTGAATGAGCTTGATGTGCATTTCCAACCTTGCCTACTTAACTCTTTCACGAGTTCTCAAGACAGGAGTAAGGGGGAAGTTTCGGCGTAGAACTAAAGACCGCGACCCAGGAAATCAATCCAATAGCTATAGAAAATTTAGAGCACACGAGATATAATATTATATTTATTTGTCTTATTGTTCCCTCAGGTTCCAGTGGAACAATGGGCTTTAACAACACATCTCCACTCTCTTCTATTTTCTGCCATCCTCTTCCGCTGGATTCATAATTTCCAAAACTCTCTTATCTCTTCCCCACACGATCTCCCCCATGTCACACTTGCATCAACGACCCACTCTTCGCTTACTTGGTATGCAGCATTGACATACAACATAAAATAGTGAAGTGAGAGATTAAGGGTGATCATAATTTTCAATTTGACATGAAAGTGGGCTTAGAAAATAGCTGCGTTATGTGCAAAAGTAAGTTTTTGATGAGTGCAAGTTTAAACGGGATGAGCATGGAAACAAATTGAAATAATGAGGTTTTTTTATAACTGAAAATGAAAAAGAAAGTAAAGGGAATGTAAAACGAAAGCTAAGCAGTCAAACTGAACCATATCCATGGTAAATGTAGAGATTGGACTTGTTTATTTTGAATATATATAGCTCTAGCTTTTCTGTGCATATGGCGAGGACTTCTGCAGGAGTACAAAGAAGTCGAGAAGACAATGTCTTTGATTGATTTTTGCTAACTTTGTATATGACTCTGAATGATGGATGAATCAGTTGAGATGTTGTGACTAGGTGTGTGTGTATGTTGACGAGGTATTCAATTATGGCACTTTTGACTGAACCAGTAACTCGCTCCTCTTTGCAGTCATGCTTGGTAATGTTCTCTGACACGTTTTGATAGGACTTGCATAGAACGACTTATTTACCTAACTCCTCATGAGCAGGCGAACTGATATATGCACATTGGATTGGTCATATGTGGAAGTTTTTTCTTCAAACTGCTTCGAAGCAGTAGGCGGTTAGAGTGTGTTGAGAGCTGGCTGCTAGCCAAAGTTGGTAGACAGTAATTGACTTCAGTGTTTATGTCCCCAATATTGGTGGTGAGAAAATGAGAACAAAGGCTTTGCGTAGACGGATACAGTTAGCATATGGATGATCTGACACAGACACAAAGAGATGCAAGGTTAACTTTCTGTGAGAAACAACCAATCAAAAGACTGTATTTTATACTAACAATAATCTACAATAATGTACATTAAAATCTATAAATATGTGTTGATTTCCTTAATAAACGATCTCTTGCATGGCTCTTGTCTTCTGTTGTTACAAGAGAATATCACTCTTAGAATTATTGCAAGGAAGGTCTTCTCTAGGGAACTACAGATTCTCCTCCTAAGAATATCCGCAAAGAAGTCTCTCCTGAAGTCCAGATTCAGGTGTAGCTTCACTTTCTTCTCCACGAAACGTGCTGGTTATCCAATTTGAGCCTTGATATTTATGATAAATAGAAGCTCTTCTTCTAAGCAGTCACTGCTACAAATTCTTCTGATACAGGGTGGTTCAGTGAGATGATGACAGCTATTTTCTAATCCTGTGTAATTTTGTATCTACGCCCCTTGTAATCTATATTCACACCCTCAATCTTTCATTTCAATTTGGAAATTATTACTATTATCACATTTAATCTCCTCCTTCGTTATTATGTGGGATTAAATAAAAACAGTAACTGTATCTATGTAAACTTAGGCATATAAATGCGATTATCTAACTGTTTTTGAGAATGATACTGCTGAAAAGATATCTGTCTTTCTGGACTTCTTGTTCTTTTCTCTCTGATATCCTAATGGGTATTTACCACGATACCGAAAATTGTACTGTCCACCAAAAAACATCCTTGAGAAAGACTAACATGTGTTTGACATGTATTTCATGCCTGTTATTTATAAGATTATGCTAGCGAACTGATGTATGCATCAGGTTCAGTGTGACGTTAGTGAACTGTTTACTAGGAAAACCCTTAGCATATATGCAACTTTTATCATCTCTGGTCTTGATGAGATAATAAATGGTCCAACAGAGAACTTCTGTTGTGAACTCTGCAAAAGTTTATTCTATTATTATATTATTATTGTTCCCTTGAGTTCCTAGTGGAACATAGGGCTTCAGCTGCACGTCTCCACTTGCTTCTGTCTTCTGCCGTTCTTTCCACACGATCTCCTCCATGTCACACTTGGACGTCCCACTCGCCGCTTCCCCACCGGGTTCCACTCGAGGGCCTGACGCGCGATGTCACCCAACGGCCTCCTCAGCGAGTGAGTGTCCAATCCATCTCCACTTTCTCCTGCATATTTGTTGAGCGATTGGTTATTGTTTTGTTTGTTCCCATAGTTTCTTGTTGGTGATTCTTTCTGGCCATCTGATCTTGAGTTTGAACGAAGACAGCTGTTGATGAAGGTTTGCAAACTGTTGAAAATATTCTTTGTGACCCGCAGCCAAGTTTCTGATCCATCCGTACAGAAGAACTGACTGACTTGACGTTTGTATTGAAAATCCAAATTTTGTTGTTGATGCTGGCTGGGTTGAGTGACGGAGATTTCCAGATTGGTTTCAGGTTGATGAATGTATTTCTTGCCTTCTCGATTCTCGAGTTGACATCCTAGTCGGTTCCTCCTGTAGTTGAAACAAGGCTCCCTAGATAAGTGAATGAAGTAACCTCTTTCACATCCCTCCAGTTGATGGTGATTGGCGCTGGATGTTGTTGTCGGTTATTTTCATAACCTCCGTCTTGTCTATGTTCACCTGGAGTCCCGTCTTTGCTGCTTCTTCGAGCAGTTTGTCGGTTTTCGCTTGTAAGTCTTCGATTTTGTGTGACATCAAATATAAATCATCTGCGAAATCCAGGTCTTCTAGATTCTTCACGTCGGTCCAGGATATCCCTGCCTGCAAAAGTTTATTCTATCCTGGCCTATAAATGAATTGTTCCCTAACTGCAATAGCCTCAAGTGATTCCAAACACTTTGTACACTATTCTAGAACTATGGAGGGGATTCCACAGTGTGCCTAATGTGGATTAAAAACTTTCATAATGTTTGTCGAAATGTGTATACGACTATCTGCTAACCATTTGAATAATCATCTTTAGAATGCTGTAATATCAAGCTGATGAGTTGAAAATAGAACGTAATACTCATCCTTGATTGCATTCTGTCTTAGCCACTATCCAGCATTTTATATCGCTTCTATACTGGAAATTCGCGCACTCATTAATAATCAATACATTGTCTATATGACTGAATTTCCTATCATTATTGATTATATTGGAGTGAAGTATCCAGTCTCTGCTGACACGTCGGCCTTTAGTTTGGACGCTTTTACGATATAATGTTATTTGATCGATGGTCACAAGCAATGGAATCCAGGGCGTCTACTTCATTCTCTTTGGGACTCGTCCGTTGAATGTACCTGCGTCTCGGTGAGCGACTGTGTTCCCACACAGACTCGAACCCAGTTCCTATAACTTCAAACACCAGAGGGTTATATACTAATCCAGATGGTTTGGTGAGTAACGCTCTAGCATATGAAAATGATGGGTTCTGGGTTCGAGTCTCAGTCGGAGAATGATATATATATATAACTCATCGTAAAATTTAGGTATACCCAACTGACGAGTCGCCAATAGGACGAAGCCCACATCCTAAATTCCACTACCAGCCTCTATCAATCAATTAATTTTTAATATCAGTCTGATTATTGATTAATTTTTCATTGATTTATTTTAGAAATGATTTAGAAGATCAAAGTCGTATGCTTGGTTTCCTACAAGCTATACAAGATTATACAAGACAGAATTTAAGTCCAATGCCTAATCGTTTTACAAAGTTAGCAAAAACTTGGTATATTGTGAATAACTTTTTAAGATCAGATAGTCGATGGAAGTTGAGTAAGTAATTATACACCTGTTTCTTTTTGTGTGTATGTGTATTTTTAAAATATGTATTATCATTATTATTGTTCCCTTGCGTTTCGAGTGGAACATATGGCTTCATCAGCAAATCTCCACTTTTTCCTATTTTCTGCAGTCCTCTTCAACATCTAGACTCAGGATTCCCCATAGTCTGTCATCTTTTCCACACAGGATCTCCTGCATGTCATCGTTGGATATACGCCCAACTTGTCGTTTTCCATTCACCTTCCATTCCAGCGGTCACCCACAATGAGCGTGATGTCACTCGACATTCCCCTCAGGGCCTTACACAATAACAGTGTAGCTCACAGCCTGACATGCATGAGAGATCTGTTCAGGGAAATCGCCGGATTCTAACTAATTGACTAACTATAATGGCAAATGACTGTTTATCGATTCGACAATCTGGGTATACCTTCATGGTCTTCAAACTCAGAATAGTCATTTAGTTAATAAGAGTTGGTGACGGATCGATATATCAGTTAAAGAACCATTGAAAACCAGCACTGGAGTAATGGACAGACAGCTGTTTCATCTTAGTTCAGGAATCATAGGCAGTACGCACCCACCACAGGAGGTTCGAATTCAGCACCTTCCGGTTACAAAGCAAGCTCGTATACCATTCAGTCACTGGGATCCGATTCAGTGGTCAATGGATTCTAACTTCTACCACTTCATGATTTAGCGCGATTGGCACCGACCGATGTCATCGGTGGGACATCCATTCTCATAATTGACCCGATAGACCTCACTGATCACGACTTCTCACTAGAACTGAATGGTATACGAGCTTGTTTTATAACCGGAAGGTGCTGGATTCGAACCTCCTGTGGTGGGTGCGTACTGCCTATGATTCCCAAACTAGGATGAAACAGCTGGCTGTCCAGTACTCCAGTGCTGGTTTTCAATGGTTCTCTCTAACTGATATACCAATCCGTGATCAACTCGTAAAGACAAATCTAATCCTTACAAACCACCTATAGAAAACAACATTTAGTTAATCTCATATTAATATGAAGTTAATGCTTCTGTCTGCTCCAGAGACCAACAGCGTATATGTCACCATCAAAAACCTTCCCCACATAAGTGGCTCCATACTGAAGATCAGAGTGGCAGCTGGTCAAAAAGGATAAACAGCATGGAACTCTACAGTACAGTGAACCAATCAACAACCTGTTACTCAGTAAATTCAAAGAAGGAAACAGAGATGAACTGGATGTAAGTTCCAAGAACACCTTCAAGTGACATTATACCCCAGATATGTCTTCCAGTGGGACTCGAATGGAGACTGAAGAGGTAGTAGTGAGTTTGACGATGACATGGAGGAGTTCATTTGGAGAGGAAATGAAAGCCTCTTCGGTAGCCTTGGATACAGCTTTCAAAAAAGACTTCAACTAAAGAAGACAATTTAGATGCGTGATTCCGGCCCTATGTTCCACTTGTTATCCAAGGGACGAATAAGGATGATTTTTTTATTTCTTTGCATTCCCAGTGAAACACAGGGCGTAATCAAGCTAGAGCTTTGAAGTTTCAGAAGCAGTGATGTTCATTTTTATGGGTTGGGGTTGCTAACCTCACGCCCAACTCTCCCTCATTATCAGTATTATTACTGGCTTAGCGAGGTAAAGCAGCAGTGCGTCGGTCAGGGATCGAACTCCGAACCACCTGCGTGGTTGGTGAGCATCCTACCGCTGTGACGCCAACACAATGACAATATTAATAATCATATATAAATATATTCCCGCATTACTGTTGCAAGAGTATTCATAATTAATCAGTTGCACCTTTCTTTGTTTCGTTTGATTGAACAGATATTGATTTATCAGTTGTCAAGGAGATTATTCAAACAATTCAATGTAAAAAAGACACGATATCAGTAAAAATATTTGACCCAATAAAAAATATTTGTTTAAATGAATTATATCCCTACTGGATTGAATATTTAAAATTTGATGCTTTTCAATTTGCTTGGTAAGTAAGCGAATATTTCACTTTTGATAATATTATTTATTATTGCTTCCTTTAGTTCCTAGAGGAACATAAGGCTTCAGCCGCACGTCTCCATTGCGTTCAATTCTCTGCCAACGTTTTCACCTGACTCCACGTCTGCCCACATGCTTTCGTCTCCTCTTCGCATGACCTCCTCCTTCATGTCACCCCACCCTCACACTGACGACCAACTCGCCGCTTCCCATTCGGGTTCTACTCGAGCAGTGGTCTGGCATGTGTGATGTCACTTGATGGTTTGTTTTCCCAGAGTATGGCCAGTCAATCCACCTCCATTTCTTCTTGAAGATTTGTTGCACAATCGGTTCCTGCTGGGTTGGTTCGTTCATCGCCAGAGATCCCTCACTGCTACTGATCCTTTCTGGTCACCTGATATTGAGTAGTACTGAGAGAAGACAGCTGTTGATGAAAGTCTGTAGTTTGTTCGAAGTGGCCTTCGTGACACGGCACTGGCCAAGTCTCTGATCTGTATAGTAAGTAGCACTGACTTCACATTGAAGTTGAAAATCCGGACCTTATTTTCATTTTCATGCTGAGTGCTGTTGACCTCCATACTCACTTGAGAGTAATGAAGGCTTAAATTGCTTTTCCGATTCTCGCCTTGATATCCTCGTCAGTTCCGGCCGCCTGTAGTTGAAACGATGATGCTTCCCAGATAGATACATAGGTAGGTAAAAGAGATTGTTTCTTGCAGATTTCTCCCATTTGTGCTGATTGTTGTCTGTTGTTGCTGCTTTTACTGTTGGTGATGGCCAGAAATCTACATCACCGCTGTCATCGCTATGTTCACCTGAAGTCCTATCTTTGATGCTTCCTCCTCTGCTAACTTGTTGCTTTTCACTGGCATATCTTCCAGTTTGTGTGAAATCAGACAAATATCGTATCGGCGAAATTCAGATCCTCTAAGTTTTTTTTTGTTTGGGTCCATTTTATGCCTGTTTTCTCGCTGCCAGCCGCTGTCTGTCTGTCGCTTTATCCAGCATGTCGCGATCAAGAAAATCACTGGAGACAGTAGGACTTTTGATGATAATAATAATAATAGGTTATTAACCTATGCTTAATATTCACTTTTAATTTGCACAAAAATTCCACTGACTGTCATTATTCAATCCTTGGGGGTTCCAAGTGGATCACTGAGCTTCAACGGTACATTTCTATTTAACTACTCTGTTCTCTCTTTGAAAACTAGTCAGTGACTAGTGTAGTGTGTCTAGTCCTTTTTTGTTTGGTGCAGACTGAATTCTATGGGGGCAAGTTTGCAATGTGGCCACTATGCCACTTGGTGGCTCGCCATCATGATGTAATTTGAATTTTTGATATTATATGGTTGGAGGCAGTCGGCAGGAAGGGATGTGAGTTTCTTCAAGATAACAGATACTACGCCTTGCTGACTGACTGGTGAGCGCCAACTAGCACGAAATCTAGCTACAGCCAAGGCTTCCTGTAGCCGATAGCCTCCAATCATCTAATATCAATAATTCAAATTACACCATGATGGCGAGCCACCTAGTGGTATGGTGGCCACATTGCAAACTTGACTGACTGATAGAATTCAGTTTGCACCAAAGAAAAAGAGGACTGGACACACTACACTAGTCACTGACTAGTGTCCAATCAAAAGTATCCAATACAGTCCTACACGAGGTCAATCGCGAGCGAGCTTGAATAGCCCGGTGATGACGTCTCTGACTTCAGCACTGGGTGACGCAGATTTGACTGTCAGAAGGTGAGTGGTGAGTGCCACCTGGCACGAAACCCAAGTGCAGCCAAGACTTCCTGCCAAATGCCTTTAACTGTCTAATACTCTGTTCTCCTCTATCGTTTCAATCTGCCTCCTCGACAAATGATTATATGCTCCTGTTTCTTTTTCATTTGATCGCCTCCATGTTACCCGCAGAGCCAACTCACCCCTCTCAGAAAACTTGTTGCTTCCAAATTGGTTTCCACTCAACGGCCTGCCTCACTTGTGTGATATCACTTCAAGATATCCTCAGAGCGTATCTTCAGTCCATCTGGATTTTATTATGCATACTTGGTGGATAACAGGTTGCTGTTTGATTTACCTCACTGCTGAGTTCCTTGTTAGTCATGCTGTCCAACCGATTGGCCATCTGATCTTCAATATTGAAGATGAGAAGGGACGCATGAGTTAGTAAAAGTCTCCAGCAGGACACTGACAGAAATGCTTTTGATGATGTGTATGCCATATATATATATATATACCAAGAGTGATCACTTCATTTAGAGAACACCAGTGGAAATAGGGGGAAAATGGACAGCCGTTTCATCCCACATTGATACTCTTCAGCAATATTCACTCATCAATCCACCTATGGGGATAAAGCTGATGACTTTCAGCTTATAAGGTGAGCTAGTTAAGCATTAAGCCACCAGTATGGAGTGCAACAGTCAATCCTCGATATATACATATATATCCTTTGTAAACAAAGTTTCTCGTGATTGAAACTGTTATTACGCGTAGCAACAATAAAAAGATGAGATATTGCATAAACAATTTGATTAGACAGTAATAACTACATTCTCAATTGGATTTTTACTTTTTATCATTCGAGATTTACTCATTTTGTTTCATTGCATATTGCATCATCATAATATCTTCATTAGATTGTTTAAACACTAAATTTGGATTTGTTTGTTTGTTTGTTTGTAGGACTTCTGAGATCTACTCATCGTATTCTACAGTGTTCTGTTGCGTGTGATGGTTACTGGCTTATCAAATTGTCTAAAGAGTTACTTACTTTTAGAATGTATAAGATTTATATATATATATGTCCTGTTGAAGAGTCCATTGTGGAACGAAATACATATTCACTTCTTCCTGATGTTTTTAGTAGTTCTCTCTTACGGATTAGAGAAGATTGTATTAGCTTGTTTGACAAAATATAATCATGGGAATGTAAACTATTTATGACACAGTGTTACCTGTTAGATAGTGATTAATGAAAGAATTCAGGACGCGCATTTCATCTCATATGGCGTTTGAAATACAATAGATGCTTGGTTTCAGTCTCACTAGAGATTGTCAGTACCTCAAGATGATGAGTCACAAACAGAAAGAAGTAGGCATACTAAATCTTACTGCCAGCTACCATCCTCCAAGTACACAACATGTTAACCCTCAGCGACACAATCGAAGCGTACGTGATGAGGCGGCTGACATGTCGACATAGTCAGAATATTTCGATCTAGTTATTCAGCGGTATGGGGAAAAAGTGATTTCATAAAAAGCAGAATTTACTCTTCACTTTCTTTTTTTTTAATTTGCCTTTAAAAGTGCTGCACATAAAAGTAAAAGTGAAAATTATTTGGCGCCAAAATCAATTGATGATTTCGACGTAATCCTTGATGAGAATTCTAATTTAATAGTACAACGCAAACCAATAGAAATGTAAGTTAATGTGTGTATGTATGTATTTGTGTATTTATATATGTACTTAAAACAAGTTCGTGGGTGGCACAGCGATAGAATGCTTGCTGACCACACCTCATGTGGTCCGAGGTTCAATCCATGGTCACCAACGCACTCCTTTACCTCACTAAGCTAGTAATAAGACTGGAAATGAGGGAAGTTTGGGGTTGGCATGAGGCTAGCAACGCCCACCACTGCTACAGAAACTTCAAGCCTACAGCCTGAAGCCCTATGTTCCACTGGGAATAATAATAACCAACAACAAAAACATCCAGCGCCAATCACCATCAGCGAAAGGGATTTGAAAGAAGTTACTTCATTCACTCACTTATCTAGGGAGCATTGTCTCAACTACAGGAGGAACGGACGAGAATGTCAAATCGAGAATCGGAAAGGCGAGAAACACATTCATCAACCTGAAACCAATCTGGAAATCTTCGTCACTCAGCCTGCATCAACAACAAAATTCGGATTTTCAATACAAACGTCAAGTCAGTCAGTTCTTCTATACAGATGGATCAGAAACTTGGCGGCGGGTCACAAAGAATATTTCCAACAGCCTGTTGCAGACCTTTATCAACAACTGTCTTCGTTCTATACTGAAGATCAGATGGCCGGAAAGAATCACAAACAAGAAGCTATGGGAACAAACAAAACAAGAACCAATCGCCCTTCAAATATGCAGGAGAAAGTGGAGATGGATTGGACACTCGTTGAGGAGGCCGTTGGGTGGCATCGCGCGTCAGGCCAATGCTCGAGTGGAATCTGACAGGGAAGCGGCGAGTGGGACGTCAGTGCAAGGGTGACATGGAGGAGATCGTGTGAAGAAGAGTTGAAACAGTATGGACTAACATGGATGCAGATGAAAAGTACAGCAGAAGACAGAAGCAAGTGGAGACGTGTAGTTGAAGCCCTATGTTCTACTAGGAACACAAGGGAACAATAATCATAGTAATAAAACAAGCTAGTTATGGCATTAACTTATTAATTAGTATGATCAGTAGTAGCCAATGAAATTGTCTCTCTCTAACTCACTCATCTAAACTACGCAGCATCATTTCAACTACTGGTGGCACGTGTTAGGGAGTCAAAGGCATCTGGGATAGGACTGGAAAAGAAAGAGAGACTGTGTTATTACTCTAAAATCAGTGTGAAGACTTACAGAATTTGTATAAGGTGAAAACGATGAGTCTTTTTTAGATTAAGAGATTATGTCCCTCATTTATTTCCTCGGTTTGTCCTTGGACAAAAGCAGAAGTCTTGATTGCAATCAAGCTAATGGAAACCAGCCGGGAAAGTAGCAGGACTAGACGAAATTCCCCCCCAAAGCACTAAAGACAGATCCACAGATCGCAGGGGGCACGATGACGCCAATACTGTGAAACGTTTGGAAGGAAGGAAAGTTACCTACCGATTGGAAGAAAGGCTGGCTATGTTGTCAGGCTACCAAAGAAGGGTGACTTACGCCTCACTCTATAAGAACAGGCATGGGATAATGCTCTTTTCTACACCAAGTAAAATACTAAGTTGCGTCAACCTGGAGAGAATAAAAGCTGAACTGGACGCAGATTTCCGCCCTACAGAACAAGCTGGATTCAGGAAAGGAAATTCATGTGTTGATCAAACTGCAACCCTAAACATCATCTTCAAACAGAGCACAGAATGACGGTCAAATCTCAATCTACCTCAATTTCATCGACTTTGGAAGGCCTTCGACAGACGGCGTTGACTGTGAAGTAGTTTGGAAACTATTTCAACACTTTGGAGGGCAGCGCCCAAATCTTAATCAACTTCATCAACAGCTATATGACAACGTCACGTGTCAGGTAATCCACAATGGAAAACTCAGCAAGGTGTTCAGAGTGCACACAGAAGTAAGACAAGACTGCCTGCGTGTTATCACCGATGACATTCTAAATTGTGGTGTACTGAATTACGCGTCAGACTGTGGGGATTGAGAAGACAGAAATATGTTGAATTGATAAGAAGACTGTAGAAGATCTTGATTTCGCGGGTGATTCATGTCGCACGTCACACAGACTACAAGACATACAGGCGAAAACCAACAAACTAGACGAAGAGGTAGGCAGCAAAGATAGGACTTCAAGTGAACATGGAGAAGACGAAAGTGATGAAGATAACCAACAATTAACAATAATAACAACAAGAGCCAATCACCATCAATGGAACAAATTTGAAAGAGGTTAATTCCTTCACTTTTCTAGGAAGCATGAGACAAGGAAAGTTACACTTTATGAAGGGGAGAAGGGGTGTTAACCAAAGATTATGTAATTAAATGAAAGAGAGAACAAATACACCCAGTAACCAAGGGGGACAAGGAAAGACTGATAACTGCTGCCTTCTGAACATATAAATCGGGTTCCAGGCGTCTGGTAGCGACTGCTTCAGCAGACCTGAGAAGAATTAAACTATTTTGTTAATTGATAATTTTAAGGGATTTCGTGATGTTCACCTCATGACCCGTATTGATGAGATGTTTGGCAGTGACACTATAGTAAGCGTTTGTTTTCTTGAGATGTAGGTATTTTGGTATGTGTTCAGAGAGTAGGATGGGTGCCTTTCTTTCCTGAAACAATCTCTATCAAATGCCTGAAGCCGTAATAAGATGTTCAGAAAGCAATAGTTATCAGTCTTTCCTTGCCTCCCCCCACCCTTGGTTACTGAATGCCTTTATTCCCTCTTTCTTCTGATCACATAATCCCCACGTTTAATATGGGGTAATTTTGCTTGTGTCTTGTTTCTGTGATTTGAGTTGTACTCACTATATTGTTGCTAAGTTTATCAGTTACTCCTGTTAACTGGTATTCTGTAATACTTGCAAGTATATTAAAATTGTTTTCCACATAAACTTAATAATTTTCTTAAGCTGTACGCAGCTGATGAGAAGCCAACAAAATGAATCTGATGGTATCGTCTTATTCTGCACTAACCCCTGTTGTTCTAACTTGTGTCAGTTAGCGAAGAAATCCCTCTACACCCTTTAAGAGGAGTGATTTTTCAATAAAGCAAGAACAATAGTGGTTTGTGCAGAATAAAATTGTACTGTCATCGGTTATTTCACCAGCTTCTCATCAGCTCACATGCGCACAACCCGAAGTCATTATTAAGTATATCTACAGAAACAATTTCGACATGCACAGACAGTTCATTTCTAAACAAAAATCAATCAATCTGCCAATATATGCATACAGTAATAATATATATATAATAATATTAAACATTTTATCCCGATCAATAATGATCATACACAATGGAAACTTTTGACATTACGTAATCAGGTGAAAGAGAGAGAGAGTGAAAATATCCAGTAACCAGGCAGGGCAAAGAAAGACTGATAACTGCTACCTTCTGAACGCATGAATTGGGTTTCAGGCGCATTTGATGGAGATCGCACATACCAATATTGAATTTACTATGGAACATGAAAATGATGGAAAGTTCCACTACCTCGACATTGGCATGCTACGTTTGTCCAAATAGCTTTAAACGTGGACTAGTCAAGACTCTGTACTATAGAGCGAGGAGAGTATGCTCTATAGAGAAATTAGAGGAAGAATTTATGTTTCTCGAAAAGAAAATGTTCACTAACAATTACGGAAGATCTGAAGTTTCAAATGTCAAACAATTCACAGTAGACAAAAAGCCAATCTACATTCAACTTGATTATAAAAGTGAAAATATTACAGCAGCTGTCAACAAAAGATTGGGGACGTCACTAGCAAGTGCCTATTCTGCAGCTTAGCTGGTTCCCATCTGTAGAACAGTTCGCTCTTTGGTGCAATCAAAAATCCATAGATATCCTTCTCATGTTAACTTCAACTGTATGTACAAATTTACGTGTATCTGTGGGAGCAGTTACATTGGAAGAACAGAAAGAAGGAGGGCACATTTTCGATTTTCCGAACATGTATCATAAAGCCTATGCCTAAGGGGAACAAATGTTGTAAACAGTGTCATCGCCAGGCATATCATCAATATGGGTCATGAAGAGTGGACATCAAAAAATCGTTCAGTAGGCAAAAGAGTTCAGTTCTCCTCAAGTTTGCCGAAGCGATCTCCATCAAATGCGTGAAACCCAATTTATGCGTTCAGAAGACAGCAGTCATCAGTCTCTCTTTGCCCTGCCTGGTTACTGGATATTTTCACCCTCTCTTTCATCCGATTATGTAATGCTGAAGGTTTCCATTGTGTATGACCATTACTACTTGGGATAAAATGTTTATTATTATTAATATTATTGTATGCATATATTGATTTTTTGTTTAAAAATGAACAGTCTGTGCAAGTATGTTGAAATTGTTTCTGTAGATATACTAAATAATGATTGCTTTGGGCTGTACGCAACTGAGCTGATGAGAAGTCAACGAAATAACCGATGATGGTACCATTTTATTCTACACAAACCACACTGTTGTTCTTGCATTATTCAAATTCATTCAAAGGAGTGATTTTTACAGCATTTTCATCATGAGCTGACATTAGTTAGAGAACCATTGGAAAACCTGGGAGTACTGGACGGCTGTTTCGTCCTAGTTTGGGACTCTTCACCTGTACGCACCCACAGGGATTCGAACCCAGGACCTTCTGGTTACAAGGCGAGCTAGGTCATAGGCCATTAAGCCACTGGGACCTGATCCAATGGCCAACTCATGAATTCCAACTTCTGCCAATTGACGACATAGCGCGACCGCTAGCCAATTCTTCGGTGAGTATTTGTCCTCACACCCGACTTGCTGCACCCTATTGGAGTGATTTTTGTAATCAAAAGAGAGTTTTTCGTTCATACGTGTGAAAACTGTACCTGAATATATATAATTTCTTGTCCGATCACAAATGTATTCTTCAAGAATCGATATCAAATCTCATAACACATTAAATTCGATTTAATGAAGTGACACAACCCTGTTTACTAATGATCTATATGACTAGTTGACAACTGTCAGATTCAAACAGTAACAATGTCTAGTTAAAACGTGATGGTCTAAACATCTAGACAGCTGTTGCACTTATTTCGGGATGAACAGATTCAGATCAGAGTGCGTCTGATCCATCTCGATTTTTTCTTGTTGCTAATTCTTTCTGACTGGCCTGTTGGCCATTTGATCTTCAGTATAAAGTCTTCATTCTGTTACCTTTTGGTTGAAATGGTCCACTTTTCTGAACATATTCAGGTATATCGCTGATGAGAACAACCTAATCCGCCCAAAAGTTTACATCGAGGTTAACAAGTACCAGTGATTAATATGAGTGATTTCCAACTGCTACTCACCTATTCTTGTTTTCCTGAATGACGAGCAGCGGTTGCAGGATGGTCTACAAATCCGCCTCGTAACCGGAAGGTCCTGTGATTGAACCCTGGTTGTGGGTTCGTGCGACTAAATAGTCTTAAAATGTAACGAAATAACTGTCTAGTACTCCCAGCTTTTTGGTGGGTCGGTGGTTCAGCGGTAGAACGGTCGCCAACCACGCAGTATGTGGTCAGGGGTTCGATCCTCAGCAGACGAATTCCTACACTTGGCTAAGGCGTTAGTAAAGCCGGTAGAGAGAGAAAGTTGGATGGTAGGCTAGTAAACCCACCCCATAAAAGTAGAACTACTGCTACCAAAACTTCAAAGCTAGCCCCACGTTCCACTCTCAAAGTAAAGGAAAAATATTATTGATTGTCATTTACGGCATGAAGCAGGTTGCATACACAGTGTGACCTGAATATGTGTTTTTCCTGGATAAAACCGTGATAAATGTATACTTTGAATAATATTGGCTGGTCAGGAGTTTTATCGATTTGAAGTTAGATTTTGAACTAATCCATCATTTAGTGAACCATCATTGATAAAAGACAAGGACTATAGATCTGTTTCACCGCAAGTTGAATATTATTCAGCAGCTCATACAGAAGTTAGAACTGATGCACCATCGGATTTAAACCCAATGACTGGATGGTCAACATCCTCGCCTCAAAAAATAATGATCTTCGGTTTGATCCTCAATAAAGCCAAGGGTGCGTACCGCTTCCTGAAGAATCTTAAACTAAGAACAAAACAGATGTCCGGCTCTTCTTGGTTTTCAGTGGTTCTCTAACTGATATATATTTGTCTACCTATCTGATTATTGATTTTCTGTTTATAGTCCACCAACTACTACGACTACTGCTTCCGGAATTCGCTTAAAACATTCACCTAGTTGGGAGTATTTAACACCAGCTGAAAAAGACGAACGTATTCGCTTAAAGTTGGAACAAGTTAAAATAACAGAGAAGGAGAGACGAAAAGCTATCCTGGCAGCAAGAAGACGTCAACGTGAAGCATTGAAACCAAAGGTATGTTTACAAATAGATGTCAGTCGATTTCATCATTGAAACTACGAATCAACATCTACTTAGAAGTGATTAATTAACCCCACCTCCTCCCCACCTATGGTATCGTCATCGCTGAGAAATTCGATTGTTTTATCTTTAGGCACTTAGTGAATGAGTAGGGAGACTTGACAGATGTAGATTCAACTCATAAAAAGATATAACTGGCGCACACTGCTGAAGATTCCACAGCTTGGACAAAAACAGTGGCTGTTTAGTTTTCACCAGACAGAAAAACCAACAACACAACCGAACAACCTTTAAAATCACCTTGAATGAATCAGTGATATCACTTATCGTGAACACCATACAACGTAAATCACTGTAAATTACATAATACAGGGGTAGTTATTAAACAGGGCGTTTACATAGACAATATTATTCAACAAGAATATGGACATCAAATTAGACGTAGTGAAAATATTGACAAGTATGCTATAATAACGAATGAAAGAATAAAAAGGGCAGTTCACTTAGCGTTTCTCAGGAGGTTAGTAGTGTCCTGCCTCACACATTTCTCACCGCATAAAATGTGTGCCTGACAAATAAGCTCCTCTGGAGTTTTCACACTTAGTCATCCAACCACAAAGTCTTCTATAGTTACTTCTACTGCCCCCACCTCATGTGAGGCACGACTGGGAGAGTTGTGTATACAGAGAATTCTCTCAGTCTGGCAGTTTCTTGTATGAATCAATGTGTCCATTGTCTACAACAGTATTAATAAGTTGGCTTAGCGACACCCCCAGTCAGCCTACTGATTTCGTATTGTAATAAGGTCTTCCTTAAATACCCCAGGAAAGGTTAAGTGGAAAGGGGAGCAGTAAACGAAGAGAAGGCTGTAAGAGTTAATAACATGTAACTGTAGAGACTGAGTGATACCAGACTGTCTTAACTTCCTTAGGCAGAACGTTAAACGAAATATCTTTCCAGAAACTAACATGATGTGGAAGACCGAGAATCAGGATCAGAGGAAATATAAAATTCAGGATATTTAACATTCGACATGGTTTCAATTTCATTGCCTCCTACGATAGTGGAACCATGCAAGCTAACCAGTGCATGTAAGTCTCGCTTGCATCTAAAAGTGAAATTAGCGTCTATGTTTAGGTCCCGAATTGGGGTCATGAGAAAAAACACAATAACAAAGCTTAACCTTGAGGAACTCAACAACCAATCACAGCAGACTTAACGTGTGCAGTTGTGATTCCCAGATATATGGCCTTACTTCCTGAGAAACGGTCACAAGCAATGCGGAATAACCTTCAGCAAGAAAACGACCAATCAGAAGATGTTGATTCTCTGCTAATGATAACGAATAATAATATCCATAAAAACCTATAAATATCTCTTGATTTTCTCAATGTACGATCTGTTGCCTGACCCTTATCTTCTGTCATTACAGTTCAACCGACTTATGATTAAGTTTGAGTAAAGCGGTAACAACAGTAAAACACATGAAGGAGGACCTAAAGAGGATGCATCCTCGCATTAACAATCTTCCAGTGATTTACGTAGTCTTATAACTTATACGTTTCTATATATGGTTACCATTGTCGCCAAGTAGGAGTCACACCCAGGATCTTTAGGTTACACTGGGGAGTTTGTTGGAATGATTGCTGTAATCTTTGGAGTTTTCGTTTACTTCTAAATTGGATATATGTAGTAACCATTAAAGTTATGACTCAGTTCAAATGCTAATTGATTGAGTATAACTCATTGACAGCACACAAACGACATCACATCGGTACTTTGATTTTTAGCGCTGGAGAAATCTGAACAACCAGCACTCTTGACGATGAAATAAAGAAAATGGGAAACTTATGATATGACAGCGGGATATCTAGAAAAGTTTGTTAAAGTCTCGGTGAGGAAAACAGATAGGGAAAGAAAAATGCTTGCAAACCGTTCAGAAAAAACGTATCTATAAATGACTTTACCATTCAAAGGAGACATAGCCATTGAATGACTGGCATCGAATCTCCAAAGAATAATAGCTGAAACATTCTTCTCCACACAACTATGTTTAAAACTCATCACTCGATGTATAAATCCAACTCAGGTGAAGGATAAGCTACCGAGTCCAGACACCTCAATGTGCACATATAAATGTAACTGCTCTTGTGGAGAGAAAAAAAGTTACATAAGTAGACAGAACAACTCGTCAAGCCCACCGTCAACTTCTTCAGTATTGTCCAATGTGTTTGAGTAAGGGGAGTCGTAAAGTCACTCAGGACTTCCATATTATCGGCACAGCCTATGGATACGGATCACAAGATTGATGGAAATTCCGTCTATAGCACAAAGTGCTAAATATGGCGCTGAAGATGTTGTCCAGAAGGACAACGAAAGCTTCGCAACTAAACCAACCAGCTCAGAGAACACTGTTAATTGCAAATCATCCACCTGAGCTACAAATCTTCTCTATTATATAGTTCTCTATAATATGTCACCTCACTTCTCTAGGTTTTTACCCTTCCAATTGCTAAGCATATCTTAGGAGATTGCCATAAAAAATTTTATTCAATTCCTCTCCCTTCCTCTTATGGTCTTCAACCCTGATCTTTCCCAGTGACACTGGTTAACTGTGAATATTTTTTATATTTGTATTTATACTACTAACTTTATTATCAGTAATATACTGCGTTATATTTGCATATTTCAATCTGAGTTTCACAATTTATTGACATTATTATTCTACTCACATTCTCCTTGATTCTATTTGTTTCTATTGGTCCACATTGCTTCTGATATGTCTATAGCTGGTATTTTATTATGTAACTGTAGTAAGCTTAATGAAAATTTTCCGAAAATACGTATCTGCCCGCTTGAATCCTGTTACAAAATTATCCTACTGGGAATGTTTAAATCATCAACAGTTTAATATTAGCTACACAACCGATGATGATTCCTTGATTGAAAAATGTAGTACCTAGACTATCTAGCCACTTCTAATTGTATCTACCAATTCAAGTGCACTCCTGGTGGAGCAAGTTATATTGGCCATTACTATAGGAACTTTATTCTTAAATCCTTTTTTTGTGTCTATTTTAGAAGCAAGACAGTTCACTATCAGGACTTATCAAAGTTGATTCAAATCAGGTGGGTTATTTTAAGGAAACATTTTTGTCTTATTTTAGAATTAAACTAATTTATTAAAACATGAATATTTCGGTAGACTGCTGACTGTATTAGATCTCCTGAAGTTGTAATAAGAAGTTGAGGCCAGTGGAATTGACCACTGGCTGCATGAATTGGGTGTTCATCGATGACATTTGACTGACTGTAGCATCATATAAAAGACTGATAAAGATGGAACTTATGAACACCATACAGCATCTGTTAAACCACTGAGAAATCCAGCTGAACTAGAAAAGCTTGAAAAATCATCAGCCATAGGTCTACAAGCTATGGAATCAGGCCACAAAGTTGATTTTGACAATAATGAAATCACGAAAAATACCCATTTATTCATAAGTAAAAACACAGTTTTTGTTCAGTAATGTTCTTTTTAGTTTTTACTTCATTTTATTTTACCACTTGAATTCTTTCCACTTCACATCTTCATTCTTATCGTAATCGTACTTTTATTTTATAAAATTTTTTAGACAACACTTGACCTTTTTAAAACATTTTTCAATTCACTTATAAAACAATCTTTAATAATTTTGTAATTTATCCACTTCAACTCTACCCCTTATAACATTTTAATAATCGTTATCCTTATCACATATATGTATATTGACTGAGCAATTATTTAGTGCCACTTAATGACCTTTTCTGTAATATAAATACGACTGTACAGCTTGAAAATGAAGTCGTTGAAAAGAAATTTCTTCGCTGAACAAAAACTGTGTTTTTACTTATGAATAATGAAATCACCACCCAGAAAAATTTCAGAAATCACAAAGAACGTCTAACATCACCAGAAGCAGTTCATGTCAAGTGGAATCCAAACTGCCTAATGAACAGGAATGATGAACTAAGACAGAATTAGACCCGGTTACAACACCCTCCTCCCCTATGAAGTGACAAAATCAACACGAATGTGATAAGCAATTTCATTATGTAAACATATGGTGCTTTTATAATTTTATACACTTATCAAATCCAACAATCTACACGTAGTTTTGTTATCTTTAACAACTGACCGATTCGACAACGAAAAATGACCCCATACTGAGGAGCGATGATTAAGTCATTGTTATGGTTGTTATATATAAGCTGAGATTTTGTAAATTCTGGTTTATTAATACCATTTTGATAAAGTCATTAGCAGCAGCATTAAACAGCGAAACGTCAGTAAAAACAACAATATCGTTTTGTTTTTCATTCATTCATTGGGAAATACAAGAAAACCTTTATTATAATGCATTCCTTTACCTAGTCTCTAGTCTTCTATGGTTACAGCAGTGCTTGCTAGCCAGCCAGATCGAGGTGATCTAAGCACTGGACGACTGTTTCACTCGGTTTGGGACGAGCTCATCAGGCGTGTCCCGGTTTCACTCAGCTCAGAAAAAGGTAGCCGAATCAGTCGGAAGCCCTCGATTTCTGGCTGGCTAGCAAGCTACTTGGGCAAACTCGGGCTGTCCAGTGTTTAAATTACCTTGATGTGGCTGGCTAGCAAGCTCTACTGGTTGACGTCAGTAGTATACAACTACTCATCTTAGTAAATCAGTAGTATATGTGTGTTCATGCAAATACGCTCGATTTCTTGATTACTATTTATGATGATATGAAGCAGGTCACATACTGTATGTGATTTCCAAAAGAAACCACGGTTAAATTTCCCCACTCGAAATGTTTAGATTACCGAATACCCATCTGCCTTTCTCTGTCCGATGGTGGCTGGCTTCCTCAGCATCCTCATTCGTGCCGCCTGTCTGTAGTCAAAACGATAGTTTAACATCAATAACCATTCATAATGAAACAGTGTATATTGTATATTGAATCCTTGAACATATCAAGCTAATCCAACTCCTATTTTGTTATTTATTGATTTGTTCGTCTGAATAATAACGACATATTTAAAGTCAGATGAAGAGGATCATGAATTGAAAAAACATCAGTTAGACGATCGACAAGAACTTCAGTCAAGAAAAAGTTCAAGTCAGATGGCGAATTTAAAATTATTGATTAGTAATAAGTTGTAAGTATTGTTTTGATTTCTTCTGCAGACGTTTTTTCATTTATTTATTTATTTATCTATTTATTTATTTTTTGTCAATTCGATTCTTTAATGGAACAACTTTCATGCACTAACTAGTTTTGGTATTCAAGTTACATCACGAATTGATACATCAGTTAAAGAATCGATGAAAACTAGTCAAGGAAGTACTGAGCTGCTGTTTTATTCTAGTCTGAAACCCTCCAGTTGTAGCACTTGTCCATAAAACCAGAATGAGTTGAACTCAGCGCCTACAACTGGTTTCGTATCCAGTGAGTCATCAATTATAACTCTTGCTGATTTTTTGAAGTAAGGATTTTGTGCCACTGGTGTGTCCCAACTGGTCACAACCGCTGACCAGAAACTCTAGATTACTTCGCGTTGTAGCCAGTCTCTAGTGAGTATGTGATTAATTTTTACGAAGTGATGTTTTCCAGGCATTTGATTGATTATAAAAGTTTTGTTTGTATGCCTTGTTCTTCATGGAATCGCATTTCACATCACTTCAAATACATTCATTAACTTATTTATTTATTCAATGTTGCCAATACAATGAAGAAACATTTTAAAACATGAGTACTTCTCTCTCTCTCTCCATTTACTTAAAAGAATTCATAACTCTAATTGTCTAAAGTGATCAGTGAGAATCTATTAGGGTTGATGGAATTATAAAACAAATAGAAGAAGAGGCATTGGTAACAAATAACCAACTATCCTATAAAATTCATTAGGAATATCAAAATCGGTCAAAAGCAAAATAAAAATAATGATGAAACTAACAATAATAATATAAAACAATTAGTTCCCTTTATGAATTTAGATAAATCAATGAGAACACGTAATTTGTCTGAATCGTGTAATGTGCATATTTGCGCTACACATTTCCAACAAACTGATCACACACGGACTTGTCATAGGAATATATTTGAAATTAATAAAGAGGTAAGAGGTGAGAAAATAGACTTAGGTCAAGTTAAAAGGACATATTAAAAGTCAAAATGACAATGAAGATCGCTAAACCAAATAACAAAAATAATAGTACATCTGTTATGGTATGTATCAAAACAAAGTTTACCAAGGAAGGTTTAATGTGATGACGAATTGTTTTTGGGGATTATTGGGTTTATGTATTTTTGGCAAGCCATACACATGCGGGAATTTACAATCTGATGGTTTTAATGATTCAAATTTATCTTTATTATTATTATTGTTTCCTTTAATTCCTAGAGGAACATAGGGCTTCAGCCGTGCGTCTCCATTGCGTTCGGTTCTCTGCTACAGTCTTCACCTGGCTCCAAGTCTGCCCACACGTTCTCATCTCCCCTTCACATGACCTCCTCCAAGTCACCCCACCCTCGCACTGACGACCAACTCGCCGCTTCCCTTTCACTCGGGTTCCACTCAAGCAATGGCTTGTCTAGTGATGTCACTTGATGGTTTGTTTTCTCAGAGTATGGCCAGCCAATCCATCTCCATTTCTTCCTGCCTATTTGTTTCACAATCGGTTCCCGCTCTGTTGGTTCGCTCACTGCCAGAGAACCCTCTCTGTTGCTGATATTTTCTGTCTGGCCATCTGATCTTGAGTAGTACTGAGAAAAGACAACTGTTAATGAAGGTCTGTAGTTTGTTTGAGATGCTCTTTATGACGCGCAGTGCAAGTGTCTGATCCGTATAGTAGCACTGACTTCACATTGGAGTTGAAAATCCGGATCTTATCTGCATTTTGATGCTGAGTGCTGTTGACCTCCACACAGACTTGAGCGTAGTGAAAGCTTGTCTTGCTTTTCCGATCCTCACTTTGATATCCTCACCAGTTCCGTCCGTCTGTAGTTGAGACGATGCTTCCCATGCAGTTAAAGGAGGTTGTTTCTTTCAGGTTCCTCCCATTTATCTTTACTTATAGCATTTAGGTCATGAAGCTTCAGTAGATTAGCTGTCACTGTGCCCTGCAACAACTGAATATCTTCTGAGAAGATATTCAGTTGCTGCAGAGCCTTAGTAAGGTGCCTCTTCAGTATAATCCAACGAATATGCACTGAAGATCAAGAAAAGACTGTGAGAACGAACCAATGGATGACCTATTATTCAATAAATATACGGAAGAAGACGAAGATGGATCGGATATATACTGAGGAGACAGTAGAATGACATGCCACACAAGCCCACCAATCGAATGGATCCAGAATAGGAAATAACGAGTTGGGCAAGGGTTGGAGGAGACGAGAGACAATAGGCAATCGTGAGGCTAGCTGATGAGAGGACCATGGAGAATAGAATGAAGTGGAAGTGTACTTTTTTAGCCCTTTGTTCCAGTCGGAACCCAAGGGAACAGTAATAATAATAATAACAATAGTAATGATTTTATACATTTGGTTCCCTTGATAAATTTCGATAGAGAAAGACAGACCAGATTTCCAGTATAAAATGATATCATCACTATTCTACTTCACAGGTTCTCATCAGCTAAGTGCAAACCACTACCTGCCTGAACTTACAATGGCTATAAATAATGACAATAACGTACTTCAATGTATGAAAGGTAATTGAGAAAACATTATAAAATGAACGCATCCGGAATATTATAAGCATTACAGCACATTTTAGTTTGAATCACCATCGATTTACATGCTTTCAAAATAGAAAAAGAGGGGGACAGGAAGAGAAGACAGAAAACAGAGAAATCTAATAAACAAACAGTGTTAGCTTATAAGTTCACATAACACCTCAAAAAAGGTTGCACTTCATAATATTGAAAACTTGCTCAATGAGATGAAATCCCTAATATGGATGATAAATCAACGTAATCAACAGCACTCAGCATAAAAAATAAAGGATCCGGATTTTCAACTCTAATGTGAAGTCAGTCGGTGCTACTTACTATACGGATCAGAGACTTGGCCAGCGCCGTATCACGAAGGCCACTTCGAACAAACTACAGACCTTCATTAACAGTTGTCTTCGCTCAATACTCAAGATTGGATGGCCAGAAAAGGTCAGCAACAGGGATCTCTGGGAGCGAACCAACCAGGAACCGATTGTGTGACGAATATGCAGGAAGAAATGGAGATGGATTGGCTGGCCATACTCTGAGGAAACAAACCATCCAGTGAGTGACATCACTAGACAAGCCCTTGATTAGAAGCCGAAAGGGAATCGGCGAGTTGGTCGTCAGTGCGAGGTTGGGTGAGTTGGAGGGGGTGATGTGAAGAGGAGATGAAAACGTGTGGGCAGACATGGAGCCAGGTGAAGACACTGGCAGAGAACTTAACTCAATGGAACCGCGTTGCTGTAGCCCTATGTTCCTCTAGGAATTAAAGGAAACAATAATAATAAGGGAGTGAGAGATAGGTTGATTACACTCTCTTTCTGTATGCAAACATTGTTTGGTCTGAGACGTTTGATTGCAATTGCTTCAGCAGTAAATCGTAGTAAATTCACTGTCCTTTGTATGTTTAATATTTTGAAGGATTTGAAAATCTCGATAAAATGACTCGTATCCACATGGTGGGTGTCTAGTAATTGCAATTTGTAAATATCCGGTTCCTTTTGAAGTATAAGTTTCTTGGAATATGCTCTAAAAACCGGATAAAAAGCCTCCTCTCTGTCCTTCCAATGGACTAGCTGCCGCAGGCCACGTGAATTCATAAATGCAGTTGGAGGTGACATCATATAAATTGATGGTGACTCAAACTAAAAATGGTAATACTTATATATTCCGGATGCTTTTATCTCATAATGTTTTCTCTATTACCTTTCAAACATTGAAGTACGTTATTGCCTTTATTTATAACCATTGTAATTTCAGGCAGGTGGGTTGCAGTTAGCTGATGAGAACCCGTGAAATAGAATAGTGATGATATCATTTTATACTGGAATTCTGGTCTGTCTTTCTCAATCGAAATGTGCGACGGTGGCACAGTGGTTAGGACTCTCGCCAATCATGCACATGGTCCGGGGTTCGATCCCCTGCTGACGCACACCCGATATCTATGGTCGGCCTGTAAATTTGGGCTACCGATATCCATGCTGAAAATTCCATACTTGTACTGAAAATACGGTGTGGAATCAAGCTGTAATCAAAATAAACAATAATAGTAATAATAATGGAATTATACTCTACCACAATACACAAGTTCTATTCTTAGATCAATTTTGACCTCTCCTATCATAATTTATTTGAAACGTATAACCTTTTTCACTTTCATATACTACTAACAATAAAAATCACTCTTAATTTAAATGTTTCTGTCTCACAACTTAACAAACAGGTTGATTTCAATGTTTCAAGAATGGCTTCACACATTGGCGAATAATAAAGCCGAGGTCAATTTAAATACAGTCAATCAATTGGCGTTTATTCTAGATGCTGGTCAATATTTAAGCATGTCAAAGAATCAGTTTAATAATATGGAAAAAATGAAGCATAAAATTGATAAGGCAAATCGTATTTATACGTAAGTTAACTCAAACGAAGGTATGGAGGTGGGTGTGTTGGGGGTTGGGGGTGGAAACCATTTTCTGTTTTTGAAAAACAAACTGTTTTTTGACTCTAAATTTCCAGTGTAGACTTTGTCATATCAGTCAGGGAATCATTGAAAATCAGGAAAAGCTGGAGAGATATTTCGTCCCAGCTCCAGACTCTTTGGCAGTAGATATCCACGAAACCGCAGTGAGTCGAGCATAAGACATGCTGTAAATATGAGATATAGAGCTACCGACAACAATTGCCACCGATGAAGATTCCCTTCACTTTAACGTGATGGACCCTACTGTCTATACCACATGTTCTTCTTCTGTCATTAATTCATACAGTCAGAATGACGCAAGTTCTCACGGGGTTACTCATTATTGTTAAGCAGAGGATATCAGTTGAGATCACTCCTAAAGGACCTTAGAATTTATACTTTTACAAACTATTACTCATATTTGAAGTAAATAGGTGGATTGTGACAAGCAGCGGAATCCAGAACAAGGCGCATTTCGTTCTATTTGGGACTCGTCATCTGGATGTACCTGCATTCTCCAGTAAATGGTGCTGTCCCAGTTCCCATAGTTTCAAACTCCAAAGCGTTTTCCATAGAACCACTTGGACAACGAGAGCCACCTGAAGAATCCCAAATGGGATGAAATGTGCCTTGTTCTTGATTCCACTGCTGCTAGTCACCATTCACCAATTTACTTCAAGTTAAATGTAATCAGAAATCGTCGAAGCATCTGCACAATGAAACCGACATGTCAAGCTAAGGCTGAGCACTTCAATCCAGTCAGTCAACGGAAAAGTTCACACTGAATAAAATTGTTGCTCATATTGTGCAGAATATTTTGCACTGTATTTTGTTCAACAATTTAACATACGAAAACAGAGTGTCAGATAGGTGAAAATTTGACAGCCTACTGCCTTCCTATGAAGTCATTCGGATGAAACGATAGAGACTTCTAGGGAGAATTCGATAGAATAGGAAGTCATGACCAGTGAGGTCCATCCAGTCAAGTGCGAGGATGGATGTCCTACCGACGACATTGGTTGGAGTCGCGCTAGTTAGAAGTTAGAATTCATGGGCTAAGTATTGAGTTGGGTTTCAGTGGCTGAATGGTATACGAGCTTTCCTTGTAGCCGGAACGTCCTGGGTTCGAACTTTTCTGTGGTGGGTGCGTACTGCCGATGATTCCTGAACTAGGATGAAACAGCTGGCTGTCCAGTACTTCCTGGTTTTCAATGGTTACAGGATTTCATCATGAGCTGACATTGGTTAGCGAACCATTGGAAAACCTGGAAGTACTGGACTATAAAACTCAAGTTTCGAAGATGTGTAGTTATAGTTGAGATGACTATGAACAATAATAAATTGTGTTCGGAAAGTGTGGTCATCCAGAACACAATAATACTGTTCCACTCACTGTGTGTGATATATCTAATAAAAAATCTAATGTGGAATAATAGAAAAGATTTGTAGCTCAGGTGGACGATTTACAATTGGTAGTGTTTTCTTGGTTGGTTGGTTTAGTTGTGGGCCTCCCCTTCGAATCAGAATCCAGGAACACAAATCAGCTGTTAAAAGACATGATATATATTCTTTCATATCAAGACATATAGATAATTATGGACATCAATTTGATTGAGATAATGTCGAAATTTTAAAGAGAGGAAACACCAAAAAGGCAGTCAGGGAATTCCTAGAAGCCTGGTACTCAAACGAATATGCGATTAACAAGCACGTTAATATAGACGAAATATACCAACTAATAAAAAGTAAGTCGTGTGACGAGAAAGTTTAAAATCCAAGTCAATAGAAAATCATCAGTACATATGTAATGATGGTTACCAAGAGACGCACTTCTATCACTCATGGAAAATTTAAATCATTTCACTTTATGCTAAATACGGTGCTGAAGATTTTGCGCAGAAGGACGACGAAAGCTCCGCAACTAAACCAACCACCTCAGAGAACACTAGTAATTGCAAATCTAATATGGAGTTACATATTGCCACAGTGCTGGCCAAGTTTTACGCATATATTAAACTGCTGTATTCCACTTCTACCTACCATTAACCAAATAATGGAAAGCAAAACTGGTTTTATAGTACTACAATTCGTGCTTAAGATTATTACTATTACTTATATATATACATATATATATTAGTGTTATTATTATTACTACTAATTAATTAGGAATTATCTATCCACACCATGTGAGAAACCAATTGAATTACCGCCCAAGTTTGTAAAACGATTGAATCAAGAAAAAGATCGTCCATCTTCAGCTACACTGAAAGGTCTTCGAGATTATCATTTGAATGCTCTGTCTTCATTATTCAATGAATTTTTAAATGTAAGTTTCTCCAATAGTAATGATAATAATAATAATTTGCTTTATTCCAAAACAGTACCTATGATACAGTGCGGAACTGTCAGCATTTATATGGTACAATACTGAATCTAATTTACTTGACAACATAAAAAAACAATAAATGATATCACAAGGTACACAACACAACACCAGAATTGATAATAACAGCTATTTTGGCGTTTCCAGTGACAATAATGTCCATTTATTAGAGACCATCGACTTCATCTGTGAATGTCTAATAGAAAATGATATGGACGTAAGTTAACCGCCTAAAAGACTATGGGGAAATGCTACTCCGTTGTACTATGAATGTGCAGTTCCATTTTAACAACGAATTCTACCGTCAAGTGGAGGGCGTAGCAATGGGCTCTGCTCTAGGTTCTTTCTTAGCCGATACGTTTATGGAAAAATTAGTGAATCGTTCACTTGAAAACGTAATCAGCGAACTCTCGTCCTACTTTAAATATACGGATGAAACTTTCATCTTTCATAGTAATAGAATCGATACCAAGGTCCTTCTCAAAACGTTCAATATGACAAACTCACACAGTTAGTTCACATGTAAGATACAAAAAGACGATACCTAATCGTTTCTTGATATCCCGCTAACAGAAGGTAAAGTGGCTGTATTCAGAGGGGTATTTTCTGGAAAAAGTCATGCGTTGGACAATACACCCATTTCAAATCATTTGCTCCTCTAACATACAAATGAAATCACATCAGTACCCTGATGTATCGCGCTAGAAAAATCTGCACAACCGGCATTCTTGACGATGAAATAAAGAAAATAGAAAATGTATGATATGTTAACGGATATCTAGAAAAGCTTGTTAAAGTCTCGATGAGGAGAACAGAGAGAGAGAAATTCTTGCAAACTGTGGAGAAGAAACGTATATAAAAATCACTTTACCGTTCACAGGAGACGTAGCAACTGAATGACTGGCATCGAAACTCCGAAAAATATTAGCTAAAACATTTTTGCAGTATCATTGTGTTTAAAATTCGCCACTTCTTGTATAAGGGTAAGCTACCAAGTCTGGCCACCTCAGTGTGCATTTATAAATTTAACTGTTCTTGTGGAAAGAGACAGTTACGTAGATAGGTAGAATGATTTGTCAAGCCCATCGTCGCTTTCTGAAGCATTGTCCAACGTAATTAGGTAGAGGAGTTGTAAAGTTAATCAGAAGTCTTTAAATATTCCCATTTATAATATTAGAACAAGACATATAAGCGAACAATATTGTTTTCAATTAGATCTTCTTCAGGCTTTACTCTAATTTACATAGATTTATATATAAAATTTTAACCAATGACGGTGATTTTGGGAATCAAATAATAATCTTAATAGTCTTAATAATAATAATAATAATGTGGTAAATGTTTTGAACATAGTTAATAACGATGATTATAATGATAACAAAATATTGATAATAAGGTTTATGCAGGTGATAAGAATAACAAAGATAGTATATGTATATAAGTGTATAAATAAATTGGGTCAAATCTTAAAAGGTGAAGTGGAACGATAATCAGAGTTTAAATAAATATTATAAAAGTACAAAGGAGGTGGAAAATAAGATGTGTATTTATAAATTTAGTTGCTCCTGTGGAGAAAGCTATATAGGGCGAACAACTAGACAGCTGAACAAACGCATTAATGAGCATCTTCCTTCATGGTTCGGAAAAGGTCAAATAAAATCCATACGAAGTTCTATTTTGGCTCATTTGATTGATAGCGGTCACCAAGTGGACAAAAATAGTGCTTTCAAAGTTATCTATCGTATTCCATCGAGTCTTTCGAATGGAATCAGAAACCGTCTTTTACACTTAGCCGAAGCTATGGAAATTCGAGAGAACAATCCTAGTCTTTGCATACAAAAGAAGTTTGTTCAACCTTTGTCTCTCCCTTGGCCTAGGTGAACTGTATTCAAAAACCCTCCCACCCTTTCTTATTTTCCACCTCCTTTGTACTCTTATAATATTTATTTAAACTCTGATTATCGTTCCACTTCACCTTTTAAGATTTGACCCAATTTATTTATACACTTATATACATATACTATCTTTGTTATTCTTATCACCTGCATAAACCTTATTATCAATATTTTGTTATCATTATAATCATCGTTATTAACTATGTTCAAAACATTTACCACATTATTATTATTATTATTAAGACTATTAAGATTATTATTTGATTCCCAAAATCACCGTCATTGGTTAAAATTTTATATATAAATCTATGTAAATTAGAGTAAAGCCTGAAGAAGATCTAATTGAAAACAATATTGTTAGCTTATATGTCTTGTTTTAATCAGAAGTTCCATACTGGCATACTTAGTGGATGGCGAGCACAAGACTGATAAAAATTCACCCTTTACAATTCTATACGGGGGTGTCACCTCAACTCCCTAGGCTGGTACGTCTTCCTCCGCTAAACATAGCTGAGACAGTTGCCATAATCATTTTTCAACCTAGTCTTTGTGTTCAGAAAAAGTTTGTTCAATCCTTTTCCCTCCCTTGGCCTTTGCTCCCAACCTAAAATAGTTATCTCTCCCGATTTGATTTTATCTGTAATGTCAACTGTATTATCAATATCATGCTGTGCTCTAGTTGTATATTTATTCCCGGTTTGGCAATTTATTATATTATCTAATCTCTAGGCGACAATAGTTATTTTACCCTCTACCCCAACTGGTTAGTATACACATTCTACCTGCACACTCACCATTACCTAGATTATATTAACACTTGAGCGGATTTATACTTGTTATTATTATGATAACGATGATCACCTCTACTGTTATCGATTAATTCACATCCCTGTACTCTAATCTTTGATATTTTATTAACCACATTAACTCAATTAAGTAATACTTCACTATGTAAACGTTAGGCCTGATAATCATGTGCCGACCCCTCATAGTGGGTACATACTGTCTATGAGTCCCCAAAAGTAGGGATAAACAGCTGTCCAGTACTCCAAAGTTGGTCTTCCAATGGTTATCTAACAAATATCAATCCGTGGTGAAAATTAAAATATTAACGTGAACTAATAACGTGTTTTACCACCTGATATCGAACCATGCTTATAATCACAGATATTTTGTCGCAATTCACATCATTATTATTACTGTTATAAGTATTCAAACCTACTGTACATATCGGAAGAGTAAAGAGCAAATATCACAGCCAAATAACCTTGAATAAACCATTCGGATCGCTCACCATTACCAACGTATGCTGTTCTGAACCTTTGTGGCAAAATTCAACCCGCATTTGGTTTTTGACTACTGTATGGAGAATGAGTTTATGTGGAGAACTAAAGCCTGTATAAGCGGACGGATAATGACTCCTTTGAAGTATTTCCGGGCCACTAAGGGTTTGAAATTGTATGATATACGGTCAGTTAGATGGATTTTCACATCAGCATTGGTTTGAAATGTACATAAACACACTTATGGAAAATTGGGACTTCTTTTTGCAGCAAATCAGAGATGCATACCCTGTATACTTTATATATATATATGTTTGTACAGACTGAGAAAATGACTTTGTCAGTTGATTATCCGATGGCAGTTGCTGTAACCAGAAGATCCTGGGTTCGAGCCCCGACTGCAGTGGGTGCATACTGATGAAGAGTCTCAAACCAGGACAAGATGCCTGTCCACCATAGTATGATGGTTTTCCAATGGTCCTCTAACTGATTTCAACCCATGATGAAGTCGTGTAAACAACCAAGTCAAATCCCTGCAAACCAACACTTGAATAAGGCTTTAAGCATTGAAGTTCCAGGAGCGAGAGCCAAGTTAAAGTATAACGCAGTAATGACCCTTAGCAGATACTAGTCGTTGAATAAAGGGACCTATTATTATTGTAGCGCCACTAATAAGGAACTGAGGTGAAAATTCCATGACGATCTTGTTTTTAATTACTGTGTTGGATAATGCGTTGATAGGGTTACGTTTACGGTTAGGGTTAAGATTAGAGATAGCGTAAGGATTAAGATTAGGACTAGGACCAGATTTAGGATTGGGATTAGGATCAGGATGTTTTATTTTTACTGTCTGAATTTTTCTAGAAAATAGTTTTCAATCCCTTACTAGAACCCGTACTGATTAAAAGGATGGCTTTCAGAGAAGACTGAAAAAAAAGGATAAGAGAGATGAGTGGGTCACAAAAAGATCTCATCTTGAGTCACTTCGATAAATGACCGACTGACTGGTTTCAACATAGAACTTCGCACCGATGTGCTGCAGTTCAAGTCGCCACACTCCATGTAGCACACAGCAAGAGAAGAAAGTGAAAAGAAATATAAAAAAGAGACAGTAAACTGAGATATCAGGCAAAAACAATAGTAATATCGAAGAACCATATTGTTTTACTGGTTATTATAAGTCACAAGGAGTGAATGCATCCGCGCCAGCCATTGAGAACGATCACTTTGAGCCATATCACCACTTGTCTCCAGCCATTGGTGTTTACCCACTTGAGGATCACAACCAGTCGGGAAGTCTACACCTTCTTACGTGGCTTAAACTAAATCTTGTGGATTTCATTGAATGATGAAGCCATGTTCTGGTTTGATCACCACTCGCTCTTTTCCTACCTGATGCATTCTATGTCAGCTAACACTGCACGTCGAGGAAAGCAATGGCTGGTCATACATAACACATGTCCTAACCATCTAACCCAGTAACTTCACAGCCTCCTCCATTGATTTCCCCTCCCTCCTTACCTAGCACTCGACGCCTAACCTCAATGTTGCTCACCTTATTACACCATTTCAAACGTGAGACAGAACTCAGGCACCTATGATCAAAGTCAGCTAGCCTTTTCATGTCCCACAACGATAAAGAAGGACGGAGCGGACTAGGGAGGAGTACACACGTCCTTTGGTCAATAGCTGGATATCAAAGGAATGAATACATGAATACATGTAGAGTAAGTAGTATAACTTAAAAAAACGGACACTCCTCTTTGTACCTGGAAAACGTTTATGAGTCAGGTTAAAGAAAAATGTATAGCCGATATTTTCCTTGCAAAACTAGAAAATGGGCCTTGAAAGACGCAGGTGATGAACTAGAATTCTACTGTCCGTACATGGATGATAGATTTTTGATTTTGAAAAGTGATAATGAAGCAAAGAACATCCTCGACCTGTTTAATGACGTTCATCTTGCGACAAAATTTCACCATCGAGAAAGAAAGATACTCTAGTATTTTATTCCTAAACGGCCTTATGACTAGAAAAGAGGACGGTACACTAGGAAGAAGTGTATATAGAAAACCTACATCAGTTGACTGTCAGTATACTCATATTTTTCAGCTTTGTGCCCTTGAAATACAAACGCAATCTGATAAAGTGCTTAGTCTACAAAGCAAGAGAAGTCTGCTCCGATGAATGTCTTAATGAAGAGCTCAATATTATGAAACAGTTGCTGAGTGAGAACGATTACCCAGAAAAATTCATCGATAAGAATGTGAGTCAAAAATCAAGGCAGCCCAAGTTACCAATCGCTCCTAAAACGGCTGCATTCTAACAAATTCAGTTCCTTGGGGATGAAATCAGTGAGGTATTAACACAATGCCTAAGGAATGAGGTAAAAAGAGCATTCAGCGCTGCTGAATTACACTGTGTTCTTAAAACTACCCCCGTATTTCACATTCAGGAGTTAAAGACTTACTAACTACTTAATTTCGCCTCTTCTATGTGTACCTACAGATTTGATTGCTCCTGTGGAGCCAGTTAGTTACATAGGCCATACAATTAGGTGTGTTTATCGTAAGATTTTCGAACACCATGCTCCATGGTGGTTAAGTAAAGGACAAACAAAATCCATTCATAGCTCTATTCCATCTCATATTGTGGATACAGAAGACAAAATTGACGATAACGACGCAGCTTTCAAAGTCATCTACCGCATATCAACTAATCTTAACTTCACCTTAAGATGTCGTCTAACACATACTGCTGAGGCTGTCAGTTGGGATCTACATTAAGATGCCTAACTTATGTATTCAAAAGAAGCTGGTTCAGACACTGTCCTTACCGCTTGGCTATCTAAGTTCGAATGATCCTCAATTTGTTGTGGAAATTTCCTTAATTTTATTTGATATTCTATTTGCAGTTAGATTTTTATGCTTATTATAATTTATGCATCTTTAGCCAACTGTGGTAATTCCATGGTGATCTTACTTAACAAATCGATATTAATTAAAAAACACCAATATTGTTAATGACAACTATTCTAGAATATTCTATGTATATAAATATACATAAATATAATTGTATAAGCCAGAAGAGGAAATTATCGGAAAGGATATTCTTTGCTCAATGTTTTGTTTATCGTTATTTTGTCTGTATTTCTCTTGTAAAAGTAAACGTAATTTTTATGTAAAAACCACAAGGTTTTCTGAATGGTCGGTTCAAGGTCAGTTGTGCGTTCGTAGCCCATGGATTGTAATAGTTTGACTTTACTCATTTTTGCATATTTTTTTCACGGAAAGGGGTCGAAAGCTTCGAAAACGTTTAAACTCACCCCTCCTCTTTTACTGATATAAATATATAACTTGAGCACTGTGGTAGAGTATAACTCCATCATAGATAAGATTTTATTTTGATAAATCACACAGTGTTTGTTATACAGTGATATTAACTGATGCGACCACGTTTCGAGCACAAACTATTGCTACTCATATTCATATCAAGTCACTCACTCTCACAACTTTCTTGCTTCATTTGTACACATGAGTAAAGACTGATGATTAAACATTTGAATAAAGTCAATATAAGATAATGAACATTCGGAAATAATAACAATAATATGAGTGTTACTGACGAAATACAATCAGATGGGAAATAAGACGAGTGTTTTTATAGTCAAAATAAGTAACTTGTTAGGATGTTATAACGTGAATTGAAATACATTTTAACATTATTTATTATCCTCCTCTGATCTGACTGGTGGTAATAATATCTTCCATATCTCCGTCATGAGTAATGAATCATTCCTGTTGCATGTGTCAGGTTTAGATCCGATGAACAAAGATTCAGTAACCAACCTCTCTCTCTCCATCCATCTATATTACTTCTTAGAATTGTAACTCTGTCCCACCAACCCTATTGTGTGCTTGTGTGTCAATATATGCAGTGAAATCGTTGAGCCGTTTTCTAAATTACTTATCTTCGTCGGGACAGTCATTCTAGCCTTAGCTAAATTCTTATGTTCTGACAATCTGACTATTCCTGACCTACTAGTCTGACCTATGTAGTTGACCTCACAGTCATTGCAGGGTATTTTGCAAATTATATTATTTTGTCTAATTGGGTCAACTGGGTCCTTTAACCTACAGAGCCTGTGCCTGAGTGAGTTTGCAGGTTTGAATGCCATCTTAATTCCTGCTTTATTGAGAATCCTACGTACGGTCTCAGATGTGCCTTCCTTATATGGTAAAACTACTGTAAATGCCTTATATTCTTTCTTATTTATGTTATCACTATTAGTTTCACCATTATTTTTATTTTACTTTTGACCGCTTTTGATCTTCCTGATGAGTTTTATAGGATAGTTAGTTATTTGACACCAACGCCTCCTCTATTTGTTTTATTTCATCATTTAGGTTTTTTGTTGTACTATTTAGTGCCATTGCTCGGTGTGTTAAACACTTAACTAAGCCTGCCTTAACAGTTAAAGGATGACATGAATTTAAGTCTAAATATCTATTAGAATGCGTTGGTTTTCTATAAACACTAGTGTGTAGTTTACCTTCTTCTGTTCGTTTGATTTTGCAATCGAACATAGCTAATTCTCCTTATTCGTTTTCCGACTCAAATGTGAATTTTATTCCCTTTACTAGTGAGTTTATATGTGTCAAGAAGCTAGAGAGAGATATGTTCTGTTTTCAACACTGTGAAAGTGTCATCCATATATCTCAACCATATTTTCTGAGCTTACTTACTGGCTAGTAAACTAAGTGAGGTTTAGGATGATGTTTGCTGGTAATCAACTCCTGAACCAAAAAGCGTGGAATGCATGTATCCCATAGTTGAACCACCGACATACTTATTGCTGTTTTACGTTCTTTATCACTTCTATTTTTTTGTTTTCGATATGCATATTTCTAATAATTTTTAATTTTAATTTTACTTTATTTGTTAGGTGACAGCTAAACAGTTTGGTTTAACACTATCCCAGTTGTGTCAAATGCCTGAAATTGATCTAGCCACTCTGGTTGGATCGCCCAATAAAACAGGTGCCAGTCAAATTGGAGAGACTAAACAGGTAATTCAATATTCAAAAAAAAAACCATTGCTACCTCGGTGATTGTGTTATTATTGATATTATTATCCCCTTGGGTTCCGAGTGGGACATGTGGCTTCTGTAGCACAGTGCCATTTAACTTTGTTCTGTATAGTTTTCCTCTTTCGCTTGCTCCATGATAGTCCCCATCCCTCCCGCTAGGCTTTTACTCCCACCTCACACGATCTCCTCCATGTAACCCTTGGACCTACGCGCCTAACTCCTTTTCTCCCATTCAGGCTTGACTAGAGGGCCTGGCTCGTGATGTTATTCAACGATTTCCTCAGCACGTGTCTGTTACCAACAGCCAATTCATCGTTGCAATAGGTAGGGAAGTATTTTAAGAAAAAATATTACTATTCTTCAGAACTGATTCAGAACTCTGCTAGCCGGAACAAGCTGGATTCAGGAAAGGCAAATCATGTGCTGATCAAATTGCAACTCTACTCATCTTCATCGCAGAACAAAGCATAGAATGACAGTCAAACCTCTGCCCCAATTTCACCGACTTCGGAAAGGCCTTCGACAGACAGCATTGACTGCGAAGTAATTTGCAAACTACTTCAACACTACGGCGTGCAGTGCCCAAGTCTTCATCAACCTCATTCAACAGATGGAAATATGACAATGTCACATTTCAAGTGATCCACAACAGAAAACCCGGCGAAACCTTTGGGCTGAATACAGAAGACAAGGCCGCCTGCTTACTATCACCAATGATGTTCCTCATTGCGGTGGACTGGATTATGCGTCAGACTGTTTGGAGCGAGGAGTCAGGAATACACCGCACTGACAGATAAGAAGACTCTAGAAGATCTGGATTTCGCGTGTGGATGATATATGTCTAATGTTACACAAAATCAAAGACTTGCAAACAGGCGAAAACCAAAAAACTGGCTGAAGAGGTAGGCAGCGAAGACAGGACTCCTGGCGAATATAGAGAAGACGGAGGAGATGAAGATAACTAACCAACCATCAACAACAGCAACCAGCATCAATCACTATCAACGGAAGAGATATAACAGAGGTTACTTCCTTCACTTATCCAGCTAGAAAACAAGGTTCCAACCACAGGTCAGCGGAACAGATGAAGATGTCAAAGGTGGCCAGCCAAAATCGGAAAGGTAAGATACGCCTTCATCGACCTGAAACCAGTTCGGAAATCTTGTGCACTTCGCCTCAGAAGCATAAAAAATAATATTCGGATTTTCAACATGAATGTGAAGTCAGTCGCTTCTTCTCTATGTGTCGTAAACTTCGAGTGCCTGTGACGCAAAGGATTTCCAACAGGCTACTTCTGACTTCGATCAACCGTTTCCCACTTCACTGGCTCCATATTGAGGATCTAATGGTCGTCCAGAAGGAATTAGTAACAAGGAACTCTGGGAAGTAACCAGACAACAACCTACTGATGAACAAATATGTAGAAGGAAATGGAGATGGATCGTTTACATGATAAGAGGAGACTGTCGAATGATATCGTGAGCCAGGCCATTGTTCGAATGGGATTTGGGATGTAAACATTGATGTAAATTGCTGTCTGCCAATTTTGGCTAGCAGAAAGCTCTCTCACCACACTGCAGCATTGAAATTTAGTCCTTTCTCGTCCACTTTTATCTCACTAGAGCTTAGTTCTCTTGATGAGAGGTTGATATATGCTTTGTGTCATTCATATGTCTAGTCAATTATTTACTCATGTATATAAACGAAGTCAGAAAGTTGTGTAAGCAGTGCCTTGATATGAGATTATGAGTAGTAATAAATTGTTCTCGCCACGTTGTCATTAGTAAAAATATTACTGTATAACACAGTGTGACTTTATCAAAATAATTTTTATCCATAGTGGAATTATACTCTACCTCAGTGCCCAAATTCTATCTGTTTACGTTAATGGAATCTACGGACAAGCTGTGAATTTCTTCCAAATGAAATTCGAGACAATAATCCAAGCGATTATTAAGACCACACGTTGAGTGATGCATAAAATCGGAAAACACATGATTTGTCTTAAAAAGCGGTACTGCATTAAACATAAAATATGAAATATAACATATACAAGCCCCAATTGTGAGATGTCTGTGGCGCCTAATGCCGTCAAAAAGCACAGCCAACGTGAGTCAGTAAGTAAAAACAGCAGAGCTGTGTGTCACTGGGCGATCCACCTGTTATTCAGGCAGTGCGCAAATGCCAGACACAGAATAAAGGGATACGGATAAACAATGTTCAACAGTAACGGATGGGTACACGAATAAAGTATATTTACGGCAAATAATGTTCAACTATAAGAAAATAAAGCAAGAATAAGAGTTTTTGCAGGAATACAATGGTACCATCATTGCTTATTTTGTTGGTTTCTCATCACCTGCTTACAGGTCAAAGGCATTATTAAGTATATCCGCAGAAACAATTTCAAAATACTTGCACAGAGTCCATTTCTTAATCAAAAATCAATCAATATATGCATACATTAATAATATATATAATAATACTAAACACTTTATTCCGAACACTGATGATCATACACAATGGAAACCTTCGGCATTACGTAATCAAATGAAAGAGAGGATGAAAATATCCACTTAACATGCAGGGCAAAGAAAGACTGATAACCGCTTCTTTCTGAACGCATAAATTGGGTTCCAGGTGCTTGATGGAAGTTGCTTCGTTAAACTTGCGAAGAACTGAACTCTTCTGCCTATTGATAATTTTGAACGATCTTGCGACGTCCACCTCATGACCTGTGTCGAGGAGATGCCTGGCGATGGCACTGCTTAAAGCATTTATTTCCTTTAAACATAAGCTTTTTGGTACATGTTCAGAAAATCTTAGGTATGAGCTTCTTTCTATTCTTTTAATGTAACTTCTCCCGCAGATACACGTAGATTTGTATACACAGTTGGAATTAATATGAGAAGGATATCTATCGATTTTTTGATTGTACCAAAGAGCATGTTGTTCGACAGGCCGGGACCAGCTTAGTTGCAGGATAGGCTCTTTCTAGTGGCATTCTCAGTCTTCAGCTGACAACTGCTGTTCTATTTTCACCTTTATAATCAAGCTGAATGTAGATGGGCTTTTTCCCCACTGTTATTTGCTCGACATTTGTGACTTCAGATCTAGCATACTTGTTAATGAACCTTTGGGGGTAACCGTTGCTTTTCAACATCTTTTGGAGAAACATAAATTCCTCCTCTAATCTCCTAGCTCTATAGTATACAGTCTTGACTAGTCCACGTTTAAGGCTTTTTTGACATTTAATAGTTTAGTAATACATCGAGTGAGTTAAACTTCATTAGCAAATGAAGACACAGTTAAAAATTAAGAAACACAACTGACACTACTGTTTTAAAGATAAGTAGTATAAGTTTAACAATAAAATTATTCAAAATCGTTTACAACAAGGTAGAAATGTTCATCCTTTCAGTATTGCACACTCTCCTGCTTTATTTTGGTTCTCCCCCTTTTTAGAAATTCTCAATTAAAACAAGACCATTGTTAGAAGATAAAGAAGAATTAACAAGATTGCTGAAACGTGCTGCTTTCCAACCATTTGATTTTCGTTTAATTCTTTTCTATCAATATTTAGTTGATTATGGTGCTAAGGAGAATTCACCATTCATTGACCAAGATTTAATATTTCATATTGAAGCACTACGCTTTGAAGTGAGTAAGAGACGTTTTATTCTCCTTCTTCTTCTAACCTTAAATTTGATTTGATTGGTTGATATTTTTTATTTCTGTAATTTTAATTCCTTTTCCCTTCCCACTGGAATATAGGGATTCATGCTAGAGCTGTAAAGTTTCGTTGGTAGTTGTCTTTTATTATTATGAGGTGGAATAACTAGCCTCACGCATAAACTTCCCTCTTTACCTGCCCTGCTGCCGGTCTGGCGAGATTTGGGAGTCCGCTGACAGGGAATCGAACCCAAGACCACATGCGTGGTTGGAGAGCATTCTTTACCTTTGAATCACCAAAGCCCTTGGTTGTATTAAGATAATATTTTTTTAAAGTCAGTTTTAGTTTTGTTTTGTTTTTTGAATTTTGGCTTACATGGATTTGGGGGATTACAGGTTTCGTCACGAGCCGACACCATTTATAGAACTAGTGGAAAACCAGAGAAAGAGAACTGGACTTCTGTTTCGCCCTAGTTTGGGACTTCTCAGCAGTGGGCACTCAAAGGAGTTGTCTTAGTATGCTTTTTTAATTTGGCAACAGTTATTATTCATGGATAGTTGGATCAGGTCTCAATGGTTGGATGATTGCCCACTAACTGGAAGGTCTTGTATTCGAACTCTGCTGATGGCTTCGTGCTGATGAAGAGTTGCAAACTGGGGCAAAACGGCCGTCCACTACTCCATGGTTTTTCAACGGTTTTCTAACTGATTTCTTCTTGTGATCAAACTTTTGTTTACTCTGTCGATTTACTTGGTCGAAATGTGGCTGGTCTTTGTCAATTTATCAGCTTCTAGAACAGACGCTTCGACGATATCGGAGGATTACCTTGTTAGTGGTGGCTATCATTGTAATCCAGGATCCGCATTTCGTCCTGTTTGAGACACATCAATGTGAAAATCATCACTTACCGGGGACTGCATTTACATCCACTAGCTGACGACTCTCATTTGGGGTGAAATTCGCATCCTGGATCCCACTGCTACTCACCATTAACCAAATAGAGTTAAGATAATAATCCATATTAATTTGTTTATTGAAATCAGACTAGAGGAGCACAAAAGCTCTGCGAAATCTAGATTAATTGACCCTAATAAGATAAGTCGGGAGGACAGCTGAGCCATAGAACTACACCGCATGCAGTCACACACAACCATACAATAGGATGAGATAAGCTGACTGTCTTAAAATCTAATGTAACAGCAGGGTGGAGGAAGAGATTGATAAAAGAAGTCTTATCTGTCGAATCAACTGAAATAACCTGCAGTATAAATCATTCAAAACCTGTCCACCTAGACATCTGTAAAATTCTACTACACCTGAGAAAATTAGGAAGAGGGAAAGACAGCTAAAGAAATCAAGTTTCAGGGTTATACAGAGTAACATTTCACATGATTATGAATAATAATAAACTGTGTATGAATTGTTGTCATCCAGTAAAGCAATACTGTTTCACTGACTGTGTGATATATCTAATAAATTAATTAATATGGAATCGCATACAGTGTCCACGGTGTCCAAGTTCCACACATGTTAACATTTTAAGTTATTTTTGTAACAAGATTCAAGTGGTCAGATACGTATTTTCGGTAAATTCTCATCAGGCTTACTACAGTTACATAGTAAGCTACCAGTCATAGACATTTCAGAAACAATGTGGGTCAGTCGAATCAAATATAATCAGGGGGAATGTGAGTAGAATAATAATGACAATAAATTGTGAAACTCAGACTAAAATATGCAATTCTAACACACCATACTACTGATATTAAAATTAGTAGTATAAATACAAATATAAAAAACTATTCATAGTTATCCAGCATCACCGGAAAAGTTAGGTATTCTAGATCTACTTTGAAGACCATAAGAAATAAGGAGAGGAATTCAATAAACATGTTACGGCAATCGCCTTAGCTACGCTTAGCAATCGAAAGAGTACAAACTCTAGAGAATTGATTTGACATCTTATAAAGAACTGTATAGGCGGAATTTCCATCAATCTTGTAATCCATATCCACAGGGTGTGCCGAAAATATGGAACTCCTGATTGACTTTACGACTCCATTTACTTAACCACACTGGACAATGCTCAGGTGGGCGACAGTGTGCTTGACAAGTTGTTCAACCTACCTCTCCACAAGAACAGTTAAATTTATAGAGGCATATCAAGGTGGCTAGACTCGGAAGCTTATCCTTCACCTGCATTGGAATTATACAATGGGTGGTGTATTTTAAACATAGTCTTTTGGAGAAGAATGTTTTAGTCAGTATTCTTAGGAGTTTCGATGCCAGTCATTCAGTGGCTGTGTCTCCATTGAATGGTAAAATCATTTATATATACGTTTCTTCTACACATTGGCAAGCATACCTCTCTCTCCATCTGTTCTCCTCACCGAGACTTTAACAAACTTTTCTAGATATTTGTTGTCATGTCATAAGTTTCCCATTTTCCTTATTTCATCTTCAATATTGTTGGTCGTTCAGATTTCTCCAGCAATAAACATCAGGGTACTGATGTGATTTCGTTTGTATACTGTCAATGAGTTATACTCAACCAATTAGCGTTTGAATTAAATTGTAACTTTAATGGTTACTACATATATTCAATTTAGAAGTAATTGAAAACTCCATAGATTACAGCAATCATTCCAACAAATTCCTCAGTGTAACCTAAAGATCCTGGGTGTGACTCCTACTGGGTGACAATGGTAACAATATGTAGAAACCTATAAGTCATAAGATTATTTAAATCACTGGAAGATTGTTAATGTGAGGATGCATCCTCTTTAGGTCCTCCTTCATGTGTTTTACTGTTGTTATTGCTTCACTCAAACTGAATCATTAGTCGGTTGAACTGTAACGACAGAAGACAAGGTCCAGGAAACAGATTGTTTATTCAGAAAATCAAGAGGTATTTATAAATTTTCATGTATATTATTGTCAGACGAGAAGCAACGTCTTCCGGCTGGTATTTTTCTTGCTGAAGGTTATTATGCATTGCTTGTGACCATTTCTCAGAAAGTAAAGCCATATTTCTGCGAATCCTAACTGTACATGTTAAGTCAGCTGTGATTAGTTGTTGAGCTCCTTAAGGTTAAGCTTTGTTATTGTGTTTTTTTCTCATGCCCCCGATTCGGGACGTAGACATTAACGTAAATTGTTGTCTACAATTCTGGCTAGCAGGCAGCTATCACCATAGTACTACTGAGGTACTACGACCTACGAATTTAACTCCATAGGAAAAAAAGGGAACTGAAATCTAGGTGACATGCTGACAAACAGCTTATTCATCATAGTATTGCGTAATAATAGTTACAATAATGAGATTATTTCATCCCTTATGTTTTTCCCTATTTATCTCTGTAAGGTTTTCATGTGATTAACAGTAAATATTACCCCACCATCACCATCACCACCACCCATTGTAAGTTTACGACAAATAAATGTGTATTTCGTGAATTATCTGTTGTCATCACTTTGTCTAATTTGTTGTCTAATGACTTTATGTTGTGAGAAAAGAAACTTCATTTATTCGTGTGTTTATTATGTGCACAACTTTGTTTATTTTTAAATGAAGAGATTAGCGGGCTTTTAGAATTAAATGTTCAACTCTACACAATACACAATAGATTCTCTCAGTTTTCCTCTGATGCACATAGTCTAGAATTACTTTTGTTATTATTATTATTATTATTACTTTGATGACAATGTATTACTTTGACACTAACTTTCGATATCATTGGAACTGTTATTTGGGTCTGATATCTATCAATCAGCTATACATCTGTGTAATGCAGTATTTGGACGCTTACTAGTTACAAGACCACAGGGAGCTCCTGGTATTGCTTAATAAATTGAAAGAATGGGATCTGTGGACAGAAGTTAGGATTCCTAACTCAGTGAATTTTAATTCGGTAGCTAAAATGTCATAGTGCATTGAAGTTTCTGTAGTAATTTGATTAATTTTGTGGGATAGGGTCGCTAGTCCCACGTCCAAACCCTCCCTCTTTAGCCGGGCTTGGGACCGGCTAGAAAGCTAGCGAGCAAGTAAGCTAGACGAGGACTCCAGGTAAACATTGATAAGACGGAGGTGATGAAGATAACCAACGAACAGCAACAATACCAACCAGCACCAATCACCATCAATGGGAGAGATTTAAAAGAGGCTACTTCCTTCACTTATCTGGCCAGGAAGGATGGTTTCAACCACAGACCAGCGGAATGGACGGAGATGTCGAAGCCAGCCAGACACACAGAATTGGAAAGGTAGAATAGACCTTCATCAACCAACCTGAAACCGCAATCAGCATAAATAACAAGATTCGAATTCTGTTCAACACAAATGTAATGTCAGTCAGTCACTTCTTCTTTATGGGTTAGAAATATGCCCAGCGTGTCACGAAAAACACTTACAACAGGCCACTGCAGACTCCTCTGGCTGGCTCTATACTGAAGATCAAATGCACAGCCGGCCAGCCAGAAAGAATTAGCAACAAGAAACTCTGGCTGTCTGGCAACAAACCAACAAACAAGAGCCGATTGTTCAACAAATATATAGGAGAAAATGGAGATGGGTTGATCGGGTATACGTTGAGGAGACCGTCGAATGACATGACCCTCAGTGCAGATCATTGGTCGAGTGGAATCGGAATGGGAAGTGATCAGTAGGTCGTCCGTGCAACTGTGACATGGAGGAGATTGTGCGATTTGGAGGAGATGAGAGATTGGGGCCAATCGTGGACCCAGATGAAGAGGATAGCAAAGAACAAAACAAAGTGTAGATGTGTTGTCGGAGCTCTAGTTTTCACCCGGAACCCAAAGGAATAATAACATAAAAGCTAAAATGTCATAACTTAAAAATCCTAGGTTCGATCTTTAGTGGGATTGTGGGCACTTAATGCTAAATATTTTCAAGTATTGGTTGTGTAGGGATCCTTTTTTATTTGATTGGTTGGAGGATTTCATCATGAGCTGACGTCGGTTAGAGAACCAGGGAACACGGGACATCTGTTTTGTCAGTCTAGTTTGGGACCTTCGGCAGTATTCACTCACCGCCACGGGTCGAACCCATGACCTTCTGGTTACAAGGCGAGCTAGCTCGCAGACCATTAAGCCACTGGGGCCCAACCCGATCCAATGGCCAACCCATGAATACTAACTTCTGCCAATTCACTACATAACGCGACCACTTCGCAATGTCTTCTTCAATGAGTTACTGCCTCACCTTCAAGCTGCTGCACCCTACTGATCACCGCTTCCCACTAGAACCCCAGGTTAACTACCTTCCTGAATAGGGCCAGTCGCTAGTGAGCTAAACAGTCCCAGAATGGGGGAACAAAACAGCTATCCAGGACTCCTTGGTTGTTTTCAACAATTCTCTAACTCATCTGTTGATTTTTGTCGTAATCTATATTGAAATAAATTACAGTAACTAATAAGTGGATAGAACATGTTGTCCGGATAATAGGCCAGTTGAAATTTACTGTCTGCTAACTTTGACTAATAGTTAAACAGACAGAGAAGCAATCGATTTTATGCTGTTTTGCAAACGCCTGTTGTCTTGGGACCATTGTTATGCAATGTTCTGCGTATTCCAAGTTTTATTATAAATATGTATACCATACCTCCGGCTTTTCTGTGTGGAAACGGCAGGGGTGTTGTTTTTACGAGTTGGGATTAATAACCTCACACCGTATAATCTTCCCTTTTCACCGGCCTTACTACCGTCTAATCAAGCATTAAGACTGCATCGACTGGTAATGAAACCAAGATGACGTTAGTGATTGGTGAGCATTTTACCACTGAACCATCGACTTACCATATCAGTGTGTATTTATTGTCTATTAATTAGTCAGCTGGCTAGGGGAAAAATCAACATTGTTAGTAGACAGTTCAATATATTATTGCATAACTGTAGCTATTAAAGTTTGTTATGTTTACCTAACAAGCAGTCTATTATACACGTCTAATTTTCAAATTTAACCATGGATTGATATCAGTTAGAGAACCATTGAAAATCAGCCTAGAATACTGGACATCTGTTTCGCCCTAATTTGGAACTCATCATCAGTTCGCACCCACTGAGTTTCAAACGCAGTTTTAACCGACATCAGTCACTGGTCTCACATGGAATAAATCAAATCTCTACAGACTAACTCATGGAAATCACTCTGACACCAGCTGGTGGTGATTGGCTACAGGATGAATTCGCCTGGAGTCTTTAATGGGAATTCGTGACCAGTCGGGTCTCTACCGTCGGTAGTGAGGACAGGTACTCGCCAGTGAAGTCACCCGTTGGTGGCTACGCTAAAATCACGAATTCGTAAAAGCTGAAATTCGTGGGATGGTCATTGAGTTGGGTTCCAGTGGCATGATCGTCTACGAGCTTGTCTTGTTGCCTGGAGGTCCTTGGTTCGAACTCCAGAGTTGGGCGCGTAATACTGATGAGTTTCAAACGAGGAAGATGAAACAGTCGTCCAGCATTCCCTTGTCACTTATATCATAGACATTATCTTAACGTGTACAGAAAATGTCAGATTCACCTTCCAAGAAAAGAAATGCAAACAAATAGATGGGATTACGATGGGGAGCCCTCTTGGGCCCCTGTTGGCAGATATGTTCATGTTGAAATTTGAGAAACAAATTCCAGGGAATGCTAGGAGAATTTATGCTATTTAAACGTAATGTGGATGACACACTCATTATTGGTAACAACAGTAAGTCTACTGAAAATTTTATTACTCTATGTAATAATATTCATCCAAATATCCAAGTGTGACTTCCGAACTCGAATCGAATAACAAATTCGGTTTCCTGGATATTACAATGACTAGGAAGGGACGATGAGACGATTCAGCGATCTATTTTTCGTAAACAGACATGGAGTGGACAATATCTTCATTTCACCAGTTTTGTTCCTATCCGGTATGAACGTTCCCTAGTTCAATGTTTGTTCTGAAGGGCCTACAAAATATGGACGAGTGACACATTAATGGATGAGCTTCGACATATACATTCAGTTTCATCAGCTAATAGTTATCCAGAAAACCTACTTTATCAATTGTCACAGTAAGGATAGACCACATCTAGAAAAGACAGCTTCTGTATCAAAGAAAGCTATCTTTATTAACTTACTCCATTCCAGGGTGACCAGATTATGCAGTTGACAGTTAGCTCAAAGACTTCAGTCAGCCATCAAATACACATTCTATGCCGCATCTCATTACCTCACACGCCAAACATTTCCGATCCCTGTATCTACGATTAAAGGACGAAATTCTATGGACTCTACTTCAAACTGTACGTACAAGTTCATCTGCACTTGCGGTAACATACATAAATGGGTAGAACCAATGGAATGTTCCAATGTGGTCGTCGAAAAGAACATGTTCTTAAATGGTTATTAAAACACATAGAAAATCCAAATACAATTAATCTGTATAGAAATCCAGCATCATCCATTGCAAAGCACTTATTAATGTCAGGTCACAAAATCAATATTATTAATGACTGCTTCACAATTATCTCATCATCACATAACTCTAATTCAAGGTTGGTCATTGAAGGAGATGGAAGCACTTTGGGGGATTTATCACAAATATCCTAAACTGTGTGTACAAAAGACAATAGACTTCCACCTTCGCCTACCATGAACTGACTAATTGATCTATTTAAATATGATTGAACAAAGCAAGAACAACAATTGTACCAGGATAATATGAGCTCATCTTTTATTATTTCGAGGATTCTTCTCAACTGGTTACAACCTGAACGATGAAAAATATGAATTACATTACATTAAAGATTTGAACATACTTTTCCACGATCACAAGGAGTAATTGGTAGGAAGTAAAAGTAACATTAGTCCGGAATGATTTAACTAATTAAGGTTACAAACACTGACTATTTATAGAATAATTCAAATGAACTGTGATCAATATTTGACAGTTTAGAAATATTTATAGAATAATTAGGCAATTAGGCTTGGAAACAAAAACAAGCTGTCGTATATATTTTTTCACCAAGGCAGTGCAAGATTCACCACTGTCTCTTTCTGAGTACATAGATTTGGTTTAAGTCGTCTGATAGCAATTGCTTCAGCAAAGCGTAGCAAGTTAGGTTTCTTTTGCTTGTTGATTATTTTGAATGACTTCAAGTTGTCTACATTATGACCAGTGTCTAATAGATGACGCGCAATCGCACTGTTTAATGCTTGTGGACCTTTCAGTCTCAGGTTCTTTGGTATGTGTTCAGAAATGCGGACAATAACCCTTCTCTCTGTTCTTCCCATGTAGGTGCTTTGGCACGTACATGTAAATTGGTAAACACAGTTGGAGGTAACATGAGGTGGGTATTTGTCCACTTTTGATTGTCTCAAACAACTAGTTGTTTGATAAACACATACAAGCTTCGCGGCTGGATATGTTCTTTTCAGGGCAGCGTTCAGTCTGCATCTTATTCTACTGGCAGTATCATCACCTTTGAATGCCAGCTGCAGAAAGATAGGCTTTTTATCTACTGTGCTGATTTTCACTTTTTCAACATGACGTCTCCCATACTTGTCAATGAACTTTTGTGGGTAACCATTGTCGCGTAGGCATTTCTCCACAATGGATAGCTCTTCCTCAATCTTTTCTTCTGAACACAGCTTCCTTACACAATCAAATAATGTTCTCACCAATCCTTTTTTGTAACTTATAGGGCAGAAACTTTTGAAGTTAAGATAAACCGCCCTCCAGGTCTCTTTTCTGTGTATATACCTTATGATTTTGCCGTCTATATCTCGTTGGATACCCAGGTCAAGAAAGTGGAACTTCTCCTCTTTTTCATGCTCCATTGTAAACTTAATATTAGGATGGGCGCCGTTCAAGACTTTTAGTACTTGAGATGCAACTTGAAGTCATTCAAAATAATCAACAAGCAAAAGAAACCTAACTTGCTACGCTTTGCTGAAGCAATTGCTATCAGACGACTTAAACCAAATCTATGTACTCAGAAAGAGACAGTGGTGAATCTTGCACTGCCTTGGTGAAAAAATATATACGACAGCTTGTTTTTGTTTCCAAGCCTAATTGCCTAATTATTCTATAAATATTTCTAAACTGTCAAATATTGATCACAGTTCATTTGAATTATTCTATAAATAGTCAGTGTTTGTAACCTTAATTAGTTAAATCATTCCGGACTAATGTTACTTTTACTTCCTACCAATTACTCCTTGTGATCGTGGAAAAGTATGTTCAAATCTTTAATGTAATGTAATTCATATTTTTCATCGTTCAGGTTGTAACCAGTTGAGAAGAATCCTCGAAATAATAAAAGATGAGCTCATATTATCCTGGTACAATTGTTGTTCTTGCTTTGTTCAAGTTTATTAATGGGAAGAATTGCATGAAGTTTTTAAATATGATTGGTCATTCGTTTAGTGTACACTTTTGTTTAATATAACTGATTAATTGTCATGCATTTTATTTAATTTCATTATTGTGAACCAAGCATGTTGGTTGTAAAGCGATTGTAAAGAAACTACGAAATGACGATACAATCTCGCGAAATTTGTCTTCTACATGCCTTATTCAAACTTTCATAAATACAATTGTATAGAGAATCAGGAGAAATATTCTTCGCAAAGAAAATTATCGTCGTTTTATTTCCACCTCAAAATATACAAATATTTTCTGTTAATTAAACTAAAATTTCTCTTTTTAATTTTTTTTCCAAGGAACTTCATCGTGGTCATGTTGAACACGGGTTACTAAAGAAAAAAGTATTATGCATTTTACAAACATTTTTAGAATCTGTTTTTCCGCCACAAATACAAGTGAGTAAACAAAAATTTATATCTCCAAGAGTTGGTTTGTATGGAATAAATTTGTTTTTACGAGTTTGACTGATATCAGTCAATGAACCATTGAAAACCAGGTAATCCTTGACAGCCAGCTGTTTTATCCTAGTTTGGCACTCATCGGCAGTACGCATTCACAGGTTGGGATTTAAATTCAGGACCCTCCGGTTACAAGGCAAAGTGCTGATGAGCCCCAAACTGGGACGAAACAGCTGACTGTCCAGTACTCCCTGGTTTTCAATGGTTCTTAAACTAATATCAATCCGTGGTCAAACTCGTAAAGAAAAATTTCTATTAAGCAAGAGTAAAGAATAGATACCACAGTCAAACGACCTTGAACCAGCCAATCCGTCAGATTGCTTACCATTCCCTAAGGATGCTTTTCCATAGTCTTCGTTGTAAGTTTTACTCTGATTTAGAATTAGTGTTAAGGTAGGGTCTAGATTAGGGTTGAGGTTGGAGTGGAATAGGAGTGAAGATTGCAACCAAGAACATAGACAGCATCCATTTGAAATGTTGATCAGTGTAACTGTCTATCATCATCAGGATATAATATTCATCATAAAGTCAATCATTCATCAGGGATGGTGGATCGTAAAACTATTACTCATACAAGTTCTATTAAAGAATTTTGGACGTATAAAATAGTGGATTAGAATGGCCTATATCAATGTCTGTCTGGATTCAACATAGAACTTTGCACCGAATTGCAGCAGTCCGAGTTGCCACATTCCAAATAGCACACAACGGTAGACAAGAAAATGAGTGAAGAGAATCAATAGAGTTTTGACAAGTATAAGAGTGAAACAGAATCAGTAATGGTAGAAAGGAATATGAAAGATTACAGAGACTGAATACATCTGCGTAAGCCATTGACAACGATTTTGAGCCATGTCACCTATTGTCTCCAGCCATTGATTCTTAGAGTCCCGAGGGTGGGCCCCAACCAGGAAGTCTGTATCTCCCTACCTGACTCAGTTTAACTGTCAAGGATTTCATGGATTGATTGATGCCATGTTTTTGTTTGGCCACCACTTACTCTTTTCCAACCTGCACCTGCGCAGCACGTGACCTAACCATCTCAATCTATGTAACTTTATAGCCTCTTCGATTGATTTTCCCTCTTTGCCCAACACTCTAAGCCTAACGTCAACATTACTTATATTATTATACCGCCTAACGTGAGAAAGAGATCGTAGACATCTATGATCAAAAACAGCCAACCTTTTCATGTCTTCAACTCGTATTGGCTGTGTTTCAGAGCCAAAGAGAAGGACGGAGCGAACTCCTCAGCAGTACACACGTCTCTTGGTTGATAGCCGGATATCACGCCTACGCCAGAGATGGTGTAAGTTAGCGAAAGCAGCTCGAGCCTTTTGGATCCGTGCTGAGATTTCGTCACCAATCAATCCGTTGGTGCTGATACAACTTCCCGAATAGGTGAAGTGGTCAACATGTTCTATCACTTCTCCCCCTGTCACTAAACTAGGAGTTGACGTAGTCCAGTCCTGTAGCAGCATCTTACATTTCACAGGGGCGAATCGCATGCCAAACATACGAAGATTGCTGCTCAGGGTGTTCAGAAGACTCTGCATTTTGTCAGCGTCTTCCCCTAACAGGACTATGTCATCTGCATATTCTAAGTCCGTAAGACTATTCCCTGGTAACAAGTCGATTCCTAAGTCGTTAAGTTCAGTTAAGGATACTTCCATTAGCATATCTATGAAGAAGTTAAACAGAAAAGGGGAAAGTGGACATCCTTGACAGACACCACTGGTTGTTATCAATTCAGATGACAATTCCCCATAAGCCCTTACACGGCTACGTGAGTTTGAGTAGAGTGCCTTGATTAGTGCAATGTACTTTCTTGGCACTCCCTTCACAGTCAAACATTACCATAGTACGTCTCGATCCACGGAGTCGAAGGCCGCCTTCAAGTCAAGAAATATGGCAATTGTTGGACGCCTAAAAGTGTGTCTATATCAATAATCACTATTAATAAAACATGGGACTTTTTCTTGCAGTATATTAGAGGCGTATACACTTTACGATTCATTTTGATACTAGACTTTTGTAAATATACTTTTTAAATTAAAATGCCGCATCTCACCTTGAAGAATATGATTAGTTGGTTCAAGGTCATTTGACAGTGGTATCTATTCTTTGCTGTTACTATTTACACATATAATCTTTTAATTTACGTGTAAAAATCCGAAAGTATACAGAACTTAGAAAAAACAATAAACTGATAGAAGAAATATGCATTCAAGTATTGGTTTTGTAAGGATTTCGCTTAACTGGTTGTCGGATTTCATCATGAGCTGACATCAATTAGAGAACCATTGGAAAATCTGGGGATAGTGGACAGCTGTTTCGTCCTAGTGTGGGACTATTCAGCAATACGCACCCACAAACACGGGTTCGAACCCAGGACCTTCCGTTTACAAGGCTAGAGAGCTCGTAGACCACTAAGCCACTGGGACACGACCCAGTCCAGACTTTAGTCAAGTTTCGATTCCCAGCAGGCATACCCCTAAACCTCGCCTAGTCAACATTAAACCCGGTAAACGACAGTACCGCTACTGAAACTTCAGAAGTTATAACCCTATGTTCCTCTCAAAACGTAAACAAACCTGAGTCAGATTGCCTCAATATGATAAGACGAAGAGTTACTAGGCAAAGAAATATTGTCTGAACTGAGTACCCTCTAGCTCGTTTTCCGCAATCATCATTTCATAAATATACATCTTGGCGGTCTGCTCAAACCACAATGGGCTACCTAAATACCTATTCAGCAGAATGTATCTACTTTTCCTTGGTTTCTTGTCGTTGTTTAAATCCTCCATCTTTGACCTTGAATCACAACATGACCTTGAGTAAATTTTTTTATCGATTTACAACCTATCACTGTGTACTTCAATAAGAAAGTGACGGAAGAATCTCGTCTTGTTTCACGTAGAACAACATTGCGCCATATTATATACTTTTGATGAATATTTTCTGCTTGAAGATTCTATATGAGCGAGTAAGGCGAAGTTAAGCTTTAAGCACCAGTAAGTACCAACCAAATAATAAAGGCGATTTTTGCACATAAAATACACATATAAACGTGAAAATAATCAATTAAAAGGCATGAAACTGTTACACAGGGTATCTTTCTCAGACATTTGACAAAAACATCTCTCAGTTTTGGGTTAGAGTATTAACAGAGTAACTTAACCACACTCTGAAAATATCCCAAAACTAACCCTGTTCTAACTCGAATCAACCCTAATGTCGACCTTATAGATTGAACTAACTCTAACTTGCCCTTAGTCTAAACCTTAACTTAATCTTTCCTAAACCTAAACTGAAACTTGCCAGATAACCTATTTAATAACATAACACCTCATCAAACATATTTTATTGATGATGACAATATTATTTACCAGGTTTCACAAACTTACTCAGTGGATGTTTCAAGGCCATTGGTGCGGTCGCACTCCATTGGTACTTACTGGTGCTTATAGTTTAACTTGTCTAGGAGTAAGTATCATGAGAGAAATTACTCAGAAGTGGCTAAGTTCAACAATAGCGTCTCAGGAGTGTGAACGCTCCAATGACCTTGAACTCATGCTAGTCGTTGGCTAACGGCACCTGTCATTATCATAACTGAAATATCAACACTATTCACCAACTTAGGAGCGAATTTCACCCAGATCACGTTTTTAAGTATTGTTTCGACAATATGTTAAAAATTAGTTAGGGTTAAGGTAAGTATTGGGGTTAGGGTTAGGATCAGGGTCATAATTAGGATTAGGGTTAGGTCTACGGTTATGATAAGAGTTGTAATTAGGGTTAGGATTAAGGTTAGGGCTACGATAATGGATAGATTTAGAGTTGATGACATTTATTTCTATTTGTTTTTATTATCCACATTTTCTTCGGAAAGTAGTCGTTGATCCTCTTACTGGAAACCGTAGTAATTAAATCGAGGGCTTTTGGGGAAGACTGCACAACAACATAAGAGAGATAAACAGTTCACAAAAACAGCACATCTTCAGTCACCTCGGTGAATACCCATTTACAGAAACTAATCTAACTTAGCCACTGATACTCCTCATCATAACTGGGATGTATTTTTAAGTCATGTGGCAGAGAAAGATACCCTGTTTAATGTGTTTCCATGTATTTTCTTGTAAATATACGTCAATTTTTGTGCAAAAGTTCCTCATTTTCATGATTGGTCGACTGAAGGTCACTAACATGTTCGTATCCCTTTGGACACTATTGTTGAACTTTTCCTCTGACGCTTCTGTATGGTGTATATAGGTCATTTTTAGAATAAAGCTTACAGATATGATGTACAGATTCAACAATTATTTACAGTATGCATTTTGTTCCCTAACTTCAGATTGGTTTACCAAATGAAGTTGTCAATCGGTTAATTGCTCGTATACACCGACAAACTGATCATAAAGGTCCAATCACTTTAAATCTATTCGATGAAGCGATGCGATTGACTTTCAATGAAATTTTACCATTTTGGGCAGGATTTAAAAGGAATGTTCTGTCGTCAAAATCAACCAGTTCAAAATCTCGACCGCAGTCTACTACGATCAAATCTGACTACTACTATAAACAAGGACATGATGAATCACCTCGATTGTTATCCAGCGTATTAAGTGAGTTAGTTTATCCCCTACTTCACCACCCCCATCTCCATTTTTATCTTTGAGTGAATGTGGATGACATCATCTTCAACTGACCGATATTTCAATGGTGGCTGGCAGTATATTTGCCTGAGACTCATCATTCGAAAGCAACTGTATCGCAGTGAGAAACAGTTATCGATTTAAATGTCAAAAAGCTACATGGTTAAGCTGATAAACCAATAAAAGTTGTTGATCAGCTCAGTCTGAAAGTAACAACAGGTGCACCTGGATAACATGAGAATTTCAACCCTAAAATCAAGTCAACAGTCAGCAAGTTTTAAG